ACCCTCACGGGCGCGCATCATCGACCCTAGCTTTTCACATGGGGCGCGCGCCAGGCCGAAACCATGTTTTTCAAGGTTTGGGGGGGGTACCGGAAGCCCAAAACCAGGCGAGCATCATGAGCATCAGCAGCCCTGGCCCGCGGACCCAAGGCAAGAAAAAACGCTGAAAAACGCTGAAATCACCGTAAATACCGTGTTTTTATGAGGGTTTTCACGCGTGCCTCCGACCCCCACCCTTGTTGCCCTTGACCCGCCCCCAAAGTGCGCATCATCGAAACCCACGTCGGGGGGGGGGTCTGCTGATGCTGCTGATGCGCGGGGTCCGGGCGCATCATCGAGCCATCGTTTCTCATGGGCTTCGTGGGGGGGTCCGGGCCCACGGCCCAGAGACCCAGCTGATGCTCATGATGCTCGGTTTGGGGGGGTGTTCCAACAGCAGAAAACCTCGTAAATACCGAGTGTTTTGTGGGTCCACGTACAAACGCCCCTAAAATCGCTCATTTTACGCGCTCGAACGGCTTCGTGCCTACAAAACACCCGAACAGCAGGACCCCGAATGCCCTTCAGGGCATTCGGGGTCTTGCTTTTGGGGGTTTCGTGGGCACGCAAGCGTTCAAGCACATACAATCGGCGTGTTTAAGGGGGTTTTGGATGGCCTGGGGGAGGCCGCTGATGCTCATGATGCTCCCTTTCCTGGGTCCCAAAAGGCTTCCCAAGCCCAAAAACACGTGTTTACAGCGTTTTCTGAAGGTTTTTCGAAGGCAAAACGCATGCATAGAATGCTTTTAAGGCCCCCAAACCAACCCCACTGATGCTCCTGATGCGGGTGCGCGCGCGCGCGCGCGCGCGCCGGCGCGCGGGGGGGGGGTGGGGGAGGGAGGGGTGGCGAAGGCAGGAGAAAGAGAGACAGAGAGAAGGAGAGGACAAAGACACGGGAAAGAGAAGACAGTGCCAAGGTTCAAGGTTTCGTGCTTTGGGGGGCGGGGGCCGGCCCGTGCCGCTAGGCCTGAAATTCTGCTTCGCAGAAGGCCAGAGGCCAGCAAGGCTATTCCCGGGACGACCCGGGTTAAAAGGTCCGTCAATGCTCGGTCCTTGGGGACCTCGCGCTGCCCGATTTAATGGCTACCGCCAGTGCCGCCGACCCCAAAACGGCCAGTGACGTGGGCAGCATTGTTACTTATGAACTATAAGTGCCATTTAACTCCCTTAGTTCCTAAACTCCCTAAGCCCCCAGACTGAACCCCTAACCCAAGGATTCGAAAGGAAATAGTAGAGTAAGTTTCAGCATGCACTGGGCTTTAAAGTCAGCTGAAAGAGCTATGCGCCAGGAGCCATGGGGGCCAATGCGGGTCGAGGGGCATGGGGCGGGGGGAGCCATGAAGGGCGGAAGGGGCGGAGTGGGTGGGCATCCCATGGGGTCATGAGGGAGGAGCCTGGGAGTGGAAGAGTGGAGGGCATGCATGGGGCTTTACAGTCAGCTGGGTCCATGGGGGCCATGGGGGTGGAGGGGCATGGGGCATGGCTGAAAGAGCTATACGGCCATGGGGCCAGCAGCCATGGGTCCATGGGGGCCATGCGGCTTGAGGGGCATGGGGTTAGGGGATGGGGCATGCGCTGGGACCCTTTAAAGTCAGCTGAAAGACCAGGAGCCATGGGTCCATAGGGGCCATGGGGCATGGGGCCAGGGAAGGGGATGGGCGGGACGGACCATCAGCTGAAAGAGCTATGCGACGGACATATATATGCTACCCCCCCCCCAGCGACCTACCCTTTTTCGGCCTTTTTTACAAAAAAAGAATAGCGAAGGCCCAAAGTCGCGTAGTTAATCACCGGGTAATGAAGGACATCTTTGGGACACCCACCTCGCAGGCCCCGATAAGCCAGCATTGGATTAATCTATATTTTGAATCTGAAGCGGACAATGCTGTCTTTAGGTTTTTAAATCTTTGGTTTTTCCTGGGTTGTGCGTTTAACGGGCAAATAATGTTTTGTAGAGCAACAAATACATTTTTTAACTATACAATTGTGTTTGTACTAGGCGCAGAATTAATCAAATACTATCTGACAAGTCCACTGAAATACCTCATGTTTACATATTCATGAAACATTGCGCTCATTATTGTATGCGAATTTAACTCCTGGAGTATTAAGTAAATAGCTCAATCTGACTCAAGCGAAGACTAGATTCAACATACCATACTAAACTAAAATATGAAATAAACACGAACGGCAACGGAAGCGATTCTACTTAAATAACTTCTCAAGTACTAAATAAAGACCACTTATATACCTTCCTAGAAAAGTAGTTAGTAAAGGCCATAGCACAAGAATGCTGCTTTGTACATAAACAGAATTTGTACTAGGCAAAGTATAAACCACATACTATCTGAAAAGTACACTGTAATAACTTCCGTTTACATATTCATGAAATATTTCTTGTTTTGAAATCATCATTCTATGCGATTTATCTACTAGAGTAAGTACTATGTGAATCGCCCAATCTGACTCAAATGAACACTATTTAAAGTACCATACCCAACCAAAATGTGAAATAAAAACTAATGGAAATAGACCACTATTCAAAATACCATACCCAACTAAAATATGCAATAAATACTAATGGAAATAGAAGCGGTTCTACTTACAATACAATGTAAAAATACCTTCCTAGAAATATAGTTAGTAAAGGCCATGCACAAGAATACTGCTTTGTACATAAATAGAATGTGCGCTAGGCAAGTATCAATCAAATACTATCTGAAAAGTACACTGAAATATCTTATGTTTACATATTCATGAAACAACGCCCAATCTGACTCAAGTGACTACTATTTAAAGGACCATACTCAACCAAAATACGAAATAAACACTAACAGCAATAGAAGCGATTCTACTTGCATAACAATGAAATCTTTGTTTCTGAAGTATTTCATTAAGACCACTTATATACTATGTCCGAAAGGCACAATTTGCAGAAGCAAGCTTAAAAATGCACAATCTTCCTTGAACAGTACTTAGTGAAGGCCATGCACAAGCAAATTCACAAGTACAAAAACGCACTTAAAAATGCGTAGTTATTGCCACGTAAAGGCGAACCAAAAAACCAAAATACCAAAACCAAAAAAAACCAACAAGACCAAAACCAAAAAAAACAAAAGAACCAAAAACACCAATTTTCCGGAACTCTTGGAGAAGCCTCGTAGGGATTCCTGAGAGTTCCGGAAAATTGTTTTTTTTGGTTTTGGTTTTTTGTTTTTTTTTTTTTTTGGTTTGGTGTTTTTGGTTTTTTAATTGCCCGTGTATTCGGATTTTAGTTTCATTTTAGTCTACGCCCCAAGAAACATGCTATATTGCACACCGAGTTTGCTTGCAGCGCAGCTGGATGACTTAAGACAAGGCGAAAAAGGGTAGGTCACTGGGGCCATATATATATATATATATATAGAGTAAAATGAGTATACTGTTAAGAGTGGTACCAACAACAACAATGAAATGACAAGAGAGAGTTTCCTCTAAACGGGAGAAAATACAGGAGTTCCCATGGGAATATAAAGGAAATAGAGTTTTCTGTGTATGAAAATTTCGATAAGATACATAGAAAAAACCGAAAGTTGAGGTTTTTCTCTTGTTATGCCGAGAATAGGAGGTTTCCTCTTTACTCCAAGTTACGTAGTAATTTGGAGTAAAACATGAAGAAAATTGATGTTTTTCTTCTCTGCTCTGGGCCACGTGCCGAACAAAAGAAGCATGCCCCTCGTGCCCCGAGCGGTCTTTTGCTGGGCCACCCGCGTGAGTTACAAAACGGCGTGTTGAGCAAAAGTGTGCGCAACAAAAGACAACACACTCTTACTCCGATGTTTGATCGAGCCCCACAGTTGGCAGCAGGATCCGGAAACGGGCCAAGGACGACACGATTGCATCGTTTGCCTCTTCAGCCCTGTCTCTGGCGACGTCTTCAGGTTTGGCTAAATCCATTAATGTACATTGGCCGGAGCACAAGCTCGACGACGCTGTGCGCGATGTGGCTGAGCAGGGACGACTTCCTGAAGGATAGCCTGAACCCTAAACCCTAAGTGGTTGTGTTACGGCTCTGAGCTTAGGGAAGAGAGAGGGCTCTTTCGCTGTTCGTGAAGTTGGTCCCTTCAGGCAACAGCACAGAGGCTTTGCGGCTCCTGCGTGAAGCATGGAATGAGCATGATGTTGCTGCTGGCGTGGCGAAGTTTTACGGCCGGATGGCCAGACTGCTCTACTTTCTTCAACTGTCGTTGAACGCGGCCTCGGTCATCGTGATTGTTCTGTTGGAGCAGTTCGAGTGGCAGACCTTGGATGTGGACCAAGCATTATTCGCCATCGCTATGCTGTCAACAAGTCTGATCTCAATAATTGGATTTACAAATCCTGTTGCGCGCTGGCAGAGGCTACGCGCAGCAGCTACGCAGCTGGAGAGTACCATATGGCTGTTTCGCACCAGATGTGGCCCATTCCAGGTACGGGTTTTCAGCTATGATTCGGACCTTGAAGAGAAGAGGCTGGAAGCACAGCTCCTGCCCTTAAAGAGGCTTATGTTTGCGCTCAACAATGTACTATATGTGCCCATTCTCGTTGCTTGCTTTGAGAACCTTAACTGCAGCCCAGGCTCATTGCCTGGCGGAGGGCAGCGGTGAATGAAACGGACTTGCAGCGATCCGACTTTCAAAGAACCTACCGTAAAGCTTGGTACACGCATGGGCAGTTCAAAGACAAAAACTGGCTCAAGCAACAGCAGGTTCATGAAAAAGCTAGCTGTATTTGTCGGCTTTGGCTGCGGCGTTGTCTGTGGCGAAAGAAACTCAGCGAAGAAGAAAAAACACACCAGAAAAAGACCCCCATCGAGAAGCTTCTTCACAAACTCGACTCAGCTCACAAGCCTGGTGCTGACGACCATCACAGCCCTCTCAAGCCCAAAGGCTATGTGGAGTTGCGCCTTCAGAAAATGATCAAGTTCTACCAGGATCGGCTGCCCTGGTACGCGTGGTATAACCGCGCGTTGTTTTTCACGTCGCTTTGCAGTGTGGCAATGAGCTCAGTGCTTGCCTTCTACAACCTCACCCAGTGGGTTATTGTTGGCACTGCGCTGAGCTCCGCCTCAAGCGCTTGGGCAGAGTTCAACAATGTCCAGCAGAACATCCAACGATATTCTGATACCATTCTGGCGCTGAAGAACGCGGGGCCCTTGGAGGGTTTGCAGGAGCTTGTAGGCGCATGGGATTGTGCATCAGTACATTCGTCTCTTTAAGACCCATATTATCAATCTGTGCTTAGGAACCATACGCGCTTTTTCACCCTTTTTTTTCGAGCTTTCGAGGTGGAGTCCTGGTGGAACAGCCTTAACCTAATAGAGAAGGCTGCGATCACAAACGTAGAGCATCTTGTCCAGTCCACTGAAGACGCGAGGCCTTGAACAGAGCATCCTTGTTTCTTGCATTTTGGGGTTTAGTCTCTTTCAGGGTTTTCTAGGTTTCCAAGCAGCTCCAGTGCTCCATGCGGACCTAAGGACATCATCACCAGTGAGTGTGAGGCATGGGCGCGTGCCCAGAAGCAGCAGGAAGTCAAAACCGCCAAGATGCTGAAATCTCAACAGGTGCAGCCCAAGGCTGCGCGCAAGTAGGGCCCAACAGAACCCGGCGACGCCAAAGAAGAGCCTTAGCAAAGGCAGGGCTCATCTAGAGTCTAGAGGTTTAAAGACGTGTCCCTTTGCAGGTGTGCGTAGCCTGATCTGGAAGCAGTGCGTCGGTGCGAGTAGAGGGTGACGAGGCGGCGCCATCCTTTCGGTTCACCAGAAAAATTGCCCTTTCTAAGCTGTAGAGTTTCTGAGAGGTAGCAGCCGGATTGGAAACCAAACCAGCTGCTGCTTCGCCAGTCACTGGCCTGAATGCTCTTCGGCCAATGGGGCAAACGAGGGCTCTTTGTGGCTCGTATGCGGGTGGCCTGCTACTTCAGCTGGCGTGCCTTCTTTCGTTTCCTGGTCTCTGCGGCCAGTTTCAGTTGCGGAGTCCCGCCATTTGAGCAAAGGAGTGACTGGTGCACCTGAACTGCAAGGAAGAATTACACATTAGGTACATAAATGCTCTTAGGGCCTGCGCATTTTGCATCTAACATGTCCCAAGCAAACTACAGTTCCCCCTCTAGGCACCCTGAGATTTCAGGCTTTGCGTAGCCCAGTAGGCAGGATATCATCGAGTTAGCTTGGCATCCAGTATGCCAAACATGTAACCATGCAGTCCCTGGTTCGTTGCCCATAACATGCGTGTATGTGACCTCTGAACACACAGTCTTACAGCGTTGTCTTCTTTTCCGGGTCTGGCTTTGTCAACATCATCCTTTTAACTCCTCACTTCCAGCTGACATGCCGGGGGAAACGCCGGGACAAACGCGGCAAAAGTACTCGTGCTGCAGTTTTTAGGGTTTTGGTTGTGGGTCTAGGGCTACTCTGTGGCTCGCAGAGCTAGATGATGCTAGATGTCTTGCAGCCCTGTGTCTTTGAACTTAGGGCTCACGCAGGTGCACTAGCCGATCCCTTGTCTGCGGGCAGCCCAGAATACGAAATGTGTATTGCACTCGGCCGACAGGGCACAAGCCAACCTCAGCGTTTAGGGGTTGCCCCGGGGTTGCCCGGGGTAACCCATATACTCCAAAAGACAGCGAGATGTTCGGCAATTGTCGCTTTTGGGCGCGATTTCGGGGACAAAGCAAGCAAACTTGTTATGATGCAGTGAGCGCTGTGCAAAATATGGCAGTCGTTTGGCTTCATTTTGTGCCCTTTCGAGCTACGCGCCTCAAGGTGCGCTTTTTGCGCTGTCCTTCAGCGTTCCGCTGACGGGGTTGGCTGAAACGGGCTAACAATTTAAACCTACATCCTCCCATGTGGCGCCGTGCAAGAGAAGCTTCAAAGTCAGTTCAAGCCTTTATGTAGGGTTTGGGGTTTCTAGGGCTCTTTTGCATGTGCGCTAGCCAATCCATTCTCGGCTGCCCGCGCCCTGACAAGCGGGCAGCCTGGAAGAGCCGTAGCTCACGGGCACAGTCGAACCTCAGCGCTTAACACTCCAAAAGACCGGGAGATGTTCGACAATTCCCTTTTTTGGGGCTCGGGGGGGGATTTCGGGGGACAAAGGGTACGGGCTCTTGGGACATGGAGACACGCCCTTAACAGCCCCTATTAATAATAAGAAATGGCAAGCTTTGCGCGTGTACATCGATGCTATACTTAGGGCTTTGGGGTGCATCTGTTGGGGCTGGAAGTTCATGCCTGAAAGTCACGAAAGCTAGCTCTGTGGAGCTGGCGGGAGTTGTCGTTTACCCATGCACTGGTATTCACCTTGTTAAGAAGCTTCCAGGGAAAAAAAGGGTTCCACACCTTAACAGGTCCGAAACCCAAGACTTAAGGTGGGGGTTGGGGGGGGGGGCCCCTCACCTCACCATGAAGCATTTTCGAAGGATAAGGTGCCGACGCCCCCCCCCCCCCCCCCCCTCCTTTAAGGTGGTTGCGTGTGGGATAAGGTAGGGGGGGGGGCCCCCCCCCTACCACCTTCAGGTCCCCTCCCCGCCCCCCCCCACAAGGTCCCCCCCCACCCCACCCCAAGGTCCTCCCCCGCCCCCCACAGTCACCATGCTCTGAAGGTCTGTGGTACTTTGCAGAGGTCGTACTGAACAGAGCGTCCCTGTACCTAAACTTCGTTTGCGACACGGGGTTGCCGCCACCTGAAGCATGTGCCTGAAATACGGAAAAAGCTGCGCCGGCGGCTCCAAGTCCTGCCGACTCGCTGCATGCCACCCCCCTGCGGTGACTAGCTTTCGTAGCCCCTTCTCAAGTTAGGTGAACAAGAGGTTGCACGTCAAGAGGGCCCCTTATAAGGGTACACGAAAGATACGCAATTTTCTAATTCACATCCCAAGAAGAGAAATATACTGGCCCGTGATATGAAGACAGATGAATATGCGAGTAAACGAGCGAGATGAACCCGCGCATAATTAGAGATCATGTCTTAGCCCGTGCCCGATATATATATATATGTGTGTATATATATATACATGTGTTTGTAAGGCGGGTGTGCATAAATATTCTCTGTTAGCATGCCACATGCACCATGTTAAAAAATTTATAGTGGCCCATGCAATAAGTTCTTTTAGGCCGGTCATTGTGAGAATATATATATATATACATGCATACATACATGACATATGTATATATATATATATATCCTGACATAGAGAATACGGTACTAGTTTACTGACATGGCCAGTTCTCCGTATGCTAGGGTACGTTTTTGGAGCTCTATGTATATACAAGACGGAGCCTCACATTTTGCAAAAACCCCCAAAGGGACCAACTGCCAAAACTAGCAGAAGAACCTGCGGAGGCACCTTCGACGCCGCGCTGCAGGCATTGCCCTCGATGGGCTTCGGCAAAAAGACCTCGACAGGATCCATCTGTCCTATAGCCCCGGCTGTAGAATATGCAAGTTCATATGCCGACGAAAAAACGAAGGTCCACACTGCTAGTTTTCGTGTGGCACTTTAGTATCTCCCCATTCTTCAAGGACATCCACGCATCTGTAGCATTTCAGGACATTTCTGTTGGCCCATGAGTGTGTGGCCGGACCATGGCAACGCCGGCAACGCCGTGACAGCAACAGCCGTGGAGGGCAAGAAGAGGATCCGAAGGCTCGTTTAGACCGTTTATGGTTTCGGCATAGTAGGCTTTCCGGTTGCTTCCTCACTGAGGATTGAGGGGTTTCTCGACTTTCTAGGCAATAGATCGGGAACCTGCAACATGACACTGCCTAAAAAGTTTCAAAGCTTTCACAGCAACGACGGGCACCTCACACTTTTGAATGGCTGCGAAGAGCCGGTTTCTAGTGGTGTTGGAGTTGTTGAGGCCACGAAGCACTGGGACATACCCGGAAGATCCCGGAAGAGAAGACAGAGGTGCACAGCGAGAGAGAACGGAAGAGAGGCAAACAGCCCTCACGTTTTTTCTAATTCACAAAGACTCAAGAATCGCAATACTGCAATTAATGTAATAATATGACAGTATAAACCGGGGGATAATCACACTATGGGGTGGCACCCTACACTTCAGAGGAGTGAAGCTCAAAGGTCGGCTCGAGGTTTTTAGAGAGCTCTTTTGTGCCCGCACCACCCCCCCTCCCCCCCCCCCCCGAATGTAAAACCAAGGTCTCTATATAAAAGCCGTTCGAAAAATGCCGGAAAGCGGATTGTAGCAGAACACTCCAGGACTTTTAATTTGTCAAGTTCACGAGGTGGGCTGGCGACGATTGTCGCCTGTTGCACTTGCCATGACATGAAGAGCTTTATAACAACCTTAGTGGAAGGAGTGTGTATGTGGGACCATGTGGTTACTGCTTAGTAAGAAGCTCTCCCCGTGATTCGCATGCAATCCCGGCCTTGCAGTGTGCACAACACAACACGCCCAGCATGCTCTCGGTCAAAACCGTCATTCTCAGTCGCCCGGCTACAGTTTGCTGGGCACCAGCCTCAAGATGCCTCAAGCGCACCGCAGCACACCGTTCAGCCTGGCGCGCTACGTCAAGATGCTGCCTAGAACGCCTCCCATTGGCAAAAAGCTTTAAAAAGCTGCGAGGTCTACAGTCTTGCATTCTGGTGTCAAGCTCCCGTGTCCAGGCATCACCCCTGAGCCCTCGACTCTAAAACAGGCCCAAAGGCCTAAGCCCGACTAAGCTGTCGTGGAGGCCGGCACCTGGTTTTTGGGCCGAAATCACCAATATTGACCATTAAAGCAACAAGTCTCGACAGCACGCAGCACAGCGGCAAAGAGCTTCCTTGCAGGTCCTTCGGCTCAAGGAATTGCCGTGATTTGGTGCAGTGACGTGTCTAGACAACAGGAGTGTTTTTTGGGCGCCAAGAGCACGAAGCATGAGCTACCAGAATATGCTGGAATCCGATGGGATCTCGAGCGAGGAGCTTGTGCGGTGGAATGCTGAACTCTAATAGCCCTTTTCAACTCTAGTCTCCGAGGACACGAGCCAAAGTCATGAAGGCTTCCAGTGCACGGAAAAGAAGGACGCTGGCTTCATCCGCGCGAGGTGTCGCTCTCGTATTCCGTCAGGGCTCTTTACCAGTAAGGTCTGCAAGCCCCACACCCCTCAATTTGTTCGTTAACCCGAAACCCTTAAAGCCATGAACCCTTCACAACCCTTAAAGCCCTAAAGACAACTATTAACACCCCTTTTAAAATGGAATCCTTCCCCCTCCCCCTCACCTTCCTACCAGCGAAGTTCGCAGGTTCCGCTACTTCTGGGGGCCTTTGGTCCTAGGGCTGTCGGCTGAGATTCTGCTGATCCTGGCGGTGCTGTGGCTTGGCATGGCAAGGACACTTGGGGGTGGGGGGTGTGGGCTAGGGGGGAAGAGAGGAAGAGAGATAGGGTTTTGAGAGCGTGTAAGATCAGCAGGGAACCGAGGGATCAACTAAGGAGATATGAAAAGAAGAACTGGGATGAAATGCTGCCGGTCCTTCAGCAACTGGATTTGGACGCCAGCAACCTGAGCGGTCCAGGCACCAGCCCTCTTGAGGTCTGGTCTGTCTGTTTCCACTTCTTGATCATTTTGGTTCTACTGATAGGGATATGGCAGCTGTAACTGCTGAAGCAAGGGGTGGGGGGGTGGGTGCAGGAACTGTCTGAGCGAAGTCAGTGTAGTAGGATCCCGTGTTGGAGTATGAGGAAGGCTTGTCGCTGCAGCTAACCATGATCGAGCACAGATACGCACAAAGCTTGCAAGAATTCAGTCCCCCCCCCCTCCCGCCCCAAATGCAGCAACCCCAAGCTCTCAAACCCTACCATTTGTGATCGGTCAAGGCTTCCAGTTTGTGTTCGTCTTTGTGGCCTGCTTGGTTGGGCGGATCCTCACACTCTGGGGCTGGCGCTGGACGCTCTGCCGTGGGAAGGACGGTGACCGGTGATGGGTGGCTTAGCCTGGGGGTGGAGGAGCCTGTAGCCAGGTTCTTTGTGTACACAGCAGAGGGTTGGTCACACGAACCGTACGACGACGAATCGGAGCCGCACACTTCGTAAGCAGACTGTAGTCCGGGCAGCTCGTGTCGGACTAAATCGGAAGGTCGTAAGCGCTGTAAGCCAAAAGAACTAAGCCACATCAACGCCCACATCTTTTTCGAGAGGACAGCCAATTTGGTGCAATCTTCATGGGTTTCAACTGCTTGCAATGGCTTGTCTACTTCTGGCTCCTGGGGCTGGAAACCGGCCATCCGACTTAGGCAGTTTCAAACCCTAAGCCCTAAACTAAACCCTACAGCCTACACTCAACACCCTAAAGCCTAAACCCTAAACCCCCAAACCTTACCCATCCTTACCCCATATGTAGACCGGCCGAGGCTCTACTACGCGCTGATGGACCTTCTCGTTCAACAAACGCCCACAAGGACGCTCCTCTCGAGCTGAGCGCCGAGCGTTTACACATGCGAGTTAGGAAAGTCAGCTCCTTTGGAGGTTGCAGGAGTTTTTGTTTACAACCCTCTTGTTCTGGGGCAAATAGGACTTGGGGGGCTGATATGTAGGGGCTTAAGGTGGGAAGGGGCCTCCCCGCCCACCTTTTCGAAGGCAGGGGGCCATGCCTGCGGTGGGAATAGGGGGCGCGGGCCACGTCCCCCTTCTCCTAACCCCCCCCCCATCCTCATCAGATCTTCAACTTATGCTGACATTGGCATGCGTTACTGGCTCGCATTTCTGAGCTTTCAACTCCTATTCTATCAGCGTGCAGTGATGTTTGTGTTGTGCCTGCCAATATCTGCGTTGTCCATGCCAAGCCGTAGCGCCACCATGCGCAAGAGCATTTGTCACGCGATTCTTCAGAGAAGCTGTGCTGATTCTTGTTGTCTGTGCCAAGCTGTCAAGACGCGTGTGGAAAGACATTTACCTTTGAAGTCGTAGGGACACATATGCGAGGATACTTACTTTGGAAACCGGACGCTCAGACCCGGGGATCCCCTAGATACGTACCCAGGCAGCGCATCTGCGCCCACCTGGCTTTCGTCCGCCCTGCTCTCAAGTGCTGAGTAAGATGAGTAAGACCCCCAAAGCCCTGAACGTGCCAGAGTACAGCTGTGCAGTTCCATGCCACCGAATCGAAAAAAGCATGAGAAGGCCCAAATGAGGGGCGCAGAGTGATTGGCAGCCAGAGTCCGAATCCCCGGAAGGGGCGAGGGCGAACTGAACCCAAGAGCAGCGCGAAAAGTGACCCACTGAAGACTTCCCCAAGTCTATCCAGCTGCCCTTACTTAATACCCTACACCCTCTTCTTTAACCGAATGCCTTCCTGTTGCAACGCATGTCCCTCCCCAGAGGACCGTCAAGGCCAGGATGCGTGCGCTTCCCTACAACATGACGCCTGCCGACGAGCGGCTTCCCTGCGCAGACAACCCGAGCCTGGCCAGAAGATCCAAAGAAGCAGGTTGTTTTCGTGGGCCAAGTGCAGCTGCTTTTTCCCAACCCTTAACACGCCCAAATCCCACAAGCCCACCCCGATCCCCAAGACCCCAAGACCCCAAGACCCCAAAACCAATCCAAGATGCCTTCAGATTCAGGTCCCCTCGAAAGCCCCCACGAAGCCGAGGAGCTGGCGAGACCAGGACGGCGCCTCCTGCCGCGACTACGCAGCAAGCATTTCGCAAGGCTGCATCGTTTGCTCTGATGGCGCGCCAGCAAATACGTGCATGCATGCATGCACACTTACATACATATACACTATATCTATATCTATATCTGTACCTATATCTATATCTATATCTGTATCTATATCTATATCTATATACACACATGCATACATGTGTCCACATATAAAATATAGAGGTATGTATGAATGCATGTCTGTGTATATGTATGTGTGTTTTTTCAGTTGCTTGTTCGTTTGCTTGCTCGTTTGTTTGTTGTTGTTTGTCTTGTGTTTGTGTTTTGGTTGTTTTTGTTGCTTATTGCACATTCGTAGCATAGTACGAGTGCAGATGCAGGCAAGATAATGTGCAACCCGGGCGAGAACATCACGGTCTACTGCCCGGCATCCTGCAACGTGTGCTCGCCGGGTCTAGAGCGCTTTGTCGAGTGCACCTTGACTCGGAGACTCAAGAAGGGAAGTTCGGGTTTAGGGATGTGTAGGGATTACGGTTTAGGGCTACACTTGGGAGTGTAGCCCGCAGAGTAACAGTGGCGTCGGGCAGGGCTTGACTTTGTGGATATTCGTTTGTTGGGCCAGCATGAGGTCCCCATCGCGGGACTCTTCAACTTCCTAAAGCCCTAAGACCCTGAACTCCCTAGAGCCCTAAATCCCTGGACTCCCCACAGCCAAAAAAGCCTAAACCTTGGGATGTTCTATAATCGGGGGTGCTATAATCCTTCTTGAGGACCGTCAGAATAAGGGGGCACCTCCCAACCTAAAAAACCCTGTTCAACGACAAGGCTTGAAGGGCGGCTCGAACCTCTACGGCTGCCAGTCAGCCTCGAAGGTTGCAGTGTGGCAGGACTCCTTATTCGGGATTATAGTACTCCCCCCCCCCCCCCGATTTTATTCCTTACTAAGCACTGTTAGAATAACGGTGAACATCCCAAGGTTAGGCTTCAAGGTTGAGGGCTTTTAGGGTGCGCCTTTTCGGGTTCAGGGTTTAGGGTTTAAGGGGTCGAGGGCTATAGGCTTTGGCGCTTAGGGGCGCCTTTTTTTCTCGGGTGTATGTTTGGCGCTGTTGCTGAATGGAGTTCTCAGCACAGGAGTGCACGAAGCCCTACGACAACGAGACCTGCTGGGGATACGTCGATCTCCCTGTTAAGTACAGCATGGAGTACAGCTCCTCCAGCATCCAATGCTGCGTGGAAGTGACATGGAAACTGTCATTTCCAAACACGCGGCTGATGACCCTACTGGGTGACGATTACGACCTTGGCCTGACCGATATCCTGGGTCTTCTCAAGTGGGTTGCTGTCCTGGTCATGACCTGGTCCATTCAGGAGTCGCCCTTCCTGCTGCCTAGCCCTGCATCCAGCGACTTTATGAAAACCGTTTGGCTGGATCTGCTCGACAGCCTCGTCATGTTTTCCCGCTTCTTTCAGAGCGATCTACTCTTGCTGCCGCAGTATGGGGTACAAGCGAATGGACACCCATCACCTGAGGGGGATTCGGATGCGCTGAGGCATTGGTTTGGAATCACATGGCCACCTGGCTTGGAAAAGCATCCCTGTGTGAACATGTGGTCTCCAAAAACTTGAGAGAATCAACCCCCCCAAAGCCCTAAACCTTAAAACATCTTCAAAACCCTACAATCACAAAGGGCTGCCTGCAGGTGGATTGCTTCACTGGGTTCGGTGCTCTCGCCGATCGTCTACACCTGGTTCAGGTGACTGGGACCAGAGGGTCAGCTCTAGTGATTTGATGCTAGTGATTTGTGCTGAGGTTCCAGGGGCCACCAGGCGGGATCGTCATATCAGGCTGGAGAGATGTCTTTTGCCTCCATGGCCATGGCCGAGGCACCGCGAGAGTCAGGCCAGCAAGGAGCAGGGGGGCACGCCTTTACTCACCAACGACGCGGTGCTTCAAGAGCCACTTTGTCCAAGGTTCTTCTATACCAGGGGTCCTCTCTTAGAGGTACGTTAAGCAGAGTAATGGGATTGCTCATAGGAGGCGGGGTCGGCCCGCCCCATGTCAGTGAGCGCAGCAACTGAGACCAGGCCCCCAAAGCTGAAAAATCTCAAATGTGATTTGTCTTTTGTTTGGAGATGTGGGGACGGCTTTGCGATGAAAGTTACTTGTGTGGGGGTCCTCGTTTCGACCCCAGACGCGGCGCCTGCCATCTCGCCATGTGGGTCCAGGGCTTAGCCCGCCTGCATCTCCTGCTCGGCTGTCCCCGTCGCCAGACCCCTCTCTTTCGTTCTGCTGCCCTCCACCTCCGCTGGTAGGCGGCTTGAGGCCCGACTGAAGCCACACGCCCAAAACTGCCAACTCTGTATAAAAACGACTGGAAACTGCGTCTGCGGGAACCGCGTATGAGCCCCGATGGTAGGAATCCCAGACCATAACGAAGGCTCGCTGAACGAGTACGGGTTCTTGACAGACACTGGGACCGCGCTTGGAAATCGTGTTTGAAGCTTTGTTGGTGAAATTGATAAGGAGAGAAAACAGAGATGTTTGCATTTTGCACGGGGCCTTAGTACCCTTGGTTAACTCAGGAGGAACCAAGGCGATGTTACGGACCTCAAAGCCCATACTGTTTATATGAGCCCTAGAGCCCTCAACCACAAGGGGCTCCTAAAATAGACCGTTGAGGACAGGGGGCTGTGGAGCTGCTTGAGAAATCCATTCAGATGACTCAGGACACGACAAACTTCGAGTGTTTTGGTGCAGGGAGTCTCTAAGGCCTTGGCATCGAGCCCTAAACCTTTCAAACCCTAAACCCGAACCCCCTTAAACCGTTTTGAACCCCTTTAAATCCTAAACCCTCTTTGATGCCCATATGGGCGCGGTTAGGGCCCTGCCAAGATGCCGAAAGACCTTTAGATTCCCTCACTAGCCCGGCCCATTACGAGCCCCTTTATGAAAACCATGGTGCCCTTACTCTTCCTTGGTTCCTTAGGCAGGGGCCTTCCTGAAGCATTTGCAGGCCGATATTGCAGAGAAGGGCGTCCATCCGACTCGAGTGATGCGCGGCTCGAGTAGCTTCAGGTCTTCAGGGCTTTCAGGGATTTCGAAGTTGATGGTGCGGCGACAGACTTGCTTTTCTTGGGTCTCTGCAGGCATCCAGGTTTCCGTGGTGCAGATGTTGCGGGTTTGGGGCGGCAATTGTGGCAGTCACATCAATTTGTGCCTCAGGCTTTGCGCATGCTTTGTAATTGCTACACACCGCCCCCCCCCCCCCCCCCCCCCCCCCCCCCCCCCCCCCCCCCCCCCCCCCCCTCCCCAGAAAAACCTAATCCCTGAGCGCTTCGACTTTTAAACTGCCGTGCCTGCAGAGGAAAGTGCGTGATGCAGATGCTTCACCTTCTGTGTCGACGTGGGCATTTGCCCACATCGGGCATGCCATCCGCGAGCGAAACAAGGCCAGGCTCCCCTTCTTATTACACCTTTCAAATATATCTTCCAAACTATAGCTACCCTATATTTGTAACCCACCACGCTATGAGTATAAGTAGCCATGAGCCTCCAAGTATTGGCTTGCGTGGGGGATGGCCTGCATCTCGTCGCAGAGAGATGCCTTGGTGTTCAGTTTCGACGGCAGGTCAACAATGTTTGATTAGCTTCTTTCCCCTCCTGTAAAGTGCACTCCTACTGGATTTAGCGTCGGCCATCTTTAAGACTTCAGCTTATTTCGAGCACTCCAGCGCAGGTCACTTATTCCGTGGAGTACGATGATGGCACTTCGGAAGACGGAGCTGGGGTTTCTGGTTTTGGGCACGAAATCCTCAAGACTCCTCAAAGTTAGCGAATGCAGTTCCAGAGAAGCCCTGAAGGAGTCGAGCTGGAAAGGCTGCAGCCCACCACCAAGCAGCCCAGAACTGAAGCAGCTCACAGGCGTCCTCGAAGACATGTGGGATATTCGCTGTTTGATGTAAACCCTAAATCCAGAAACAGGATGAAACAGGGTCAGAAGTGCCCGACATAAGGTTTCGAGGGGTTAGCTGCAGTTTGCTAGCCTAGACAAAACCACCCGCAACCCTGAACCCCTCAAACCTCAACCCTATAATGCCTATAATTATGAAACCAAGCGAAATGTCCAGGCGTCCCGATCATCTTTCAGTGAAGGTGATGGTTGCTTCGTGGAGTTCGACCACATCCAAGCAAGAGCAGAAATCTTTCAACAAGAACATCAACACCCACGGTCTCCTACCTACACCCTTATAGGCATCCCTAAAAACATCCCTAAGCCCCAAAAAACTTTCTTAAACAAAAGCCTTCGAGGTGCACCGGTTGGTGCCACCCAGCCTACCTTTTCCCCAAGAGCGACCCGTTGGCAGCCCTCCAGCGCCGCGCCATGTTCCTGAACGCCCTACGCTCCATGCTGCTCGGCAGAAGGCTCATTGAAGGTTGCTTGGGAATGCCCCCCCCAGCAGAAAAAAGTAGTATCCAAGATGCATATTGTATAGTTACGTACACAATTTGTTGCAAGCAAAGTATCTGGGGTGCGGTGGAGTGGAGGGGTTTCGATATTAGCGGGGTATGTTCGTTTTATTCAGGGCTCGTCGACTCTTGGAAGGCTTTCTTAGCCAAAGCTTAGTGTGTGGGGTGTTTTGCTTTGGGTTTCAGGTTTTCGCTTGAGGCCTTAAGGCTCTAAAAGGTTTTATCGGGCCCAACGTTTTGATTTCGTGAGGTTGACCCTTGAGCTGCCTTTCTTCGCGTGGCGAATGTGGTTCTGGATTGGAGGTACAAAAGGCCTCTTACTCCTCATGGCCAAGAATCTGGTCTTTGGCCTGCGTGACCTCTGTATCATCTTGGCCTGGGGAAGGGAGGACTCCTGCAAAGGTTTGGGGGTGGTAGGGTTTCGGGTCTCCATGCATATGCTGCTACTTGGTTCGGTTTTTCATATTCATATGACATTCATTATGAGTTTGAACAGGTACCTTTGTATTTCTTCTTATGTGTATGCTTCGTAGTTAAGTTTTGTTCTGTTTGTAACGAGAGTGTGCAGTCGTTTTGCGGGGGCTAAGGGTCCCAGGCTCCCCGCCCCTTCATAGTTCCCATGTCTTCAGGACGCGAGAGTCCTGGGCTTCGCTCCAGCGGCAGTGGTTTCCAGTCTCAGCAAGGTTGTGAACTCCGTCCAGAGACTCGGATGTTTCCTGAGTTTAAACGCTAAACCCTAAAAGGAGACTTAGGGTTTAGGGCTTCCTTCATCCCCTTACCCTAAATGACCAATGACCTCCAGCCCACCTCAAGCAGCACCCCCCCTCCTTGGAACCTCCCTCAAAAAAGATATTTTGAGAACCCTCTCCGAACCGCACCTAAACCCCTGCTGTTTTGCCCTCCCTTGGTTTTCAGGCCCCTCTGAAGGGCCCCTCTGAGGAAAGCCGGCCCCGGTGCGCTGATGAGCGATGCCGCCAAGTACGCACTGAGGGCACTGTCCCGAGCAGAGGCACAGCTACAATTGAAGAAGGCCTTCTTACAGCAGGACCGGGACGGTTGTACTCATATTGCGGGAGTTTGCTTGGAGTGGTGAAAACCGAGTTGCGAAGGCCGTGCGAACCACTGAGACTTGCAGGTTTTTTTGTGGTTTTTCAGGAGCCTGGACCAACAGCCGTACAGCCCCAGCCCAAAAACCCTTAAATCACCCTCTTCCCAAACACCTCTGAGTGACAGCGAAGGAGCGCTACCTGGCGCTCATGCGCGATGGGGAAGATGTAGCACAAGGCTTCGACGAGATCATCACGCAGGCGGGAGACCTTCTGGGAGTTTGTTGGTAGAGCCCAGACAAATTAATTGCATTAGAACTAGGAAGACGGAGGCTGCAATGTCTAGAAAGGCTACACACTTGGGAAGTCCTCCCTACTCATGAAAGAATCAATGGAAGGGCTTCAGCGTCCTTGAGAATTTCCTGAAACCCTCCTCGGGGGGGGGGGGGGGGGGAGTGTGGGTGGGCTCAGAGGCTCCCTTTTGGGGTTGCCAGGTGAACGCGGATCTCGAAGACCAGAGAGAGATGCTGAAGCACCTCCACACTTGAACACAGCTCTGTTATTCAGAGGAGTGGGTGGAAAGATCTTCCGTTGTTTTTGGGAGAGGCTGCTGCTCAGGAACTGAAGAACCAGGCTGCCAGAATAAGAACGCCACACTGCTTGCTAAGTGTCCAAGTTTTCCCGAACGCTTAAGGGGTTTCCGAACACAGGGACCCCTTTCCTACCCCCCAAAATACTATAACCCCTCAAAAAGGGCACCCCCCCCTATTTTCGGAAACCCCTCTTATAAGTTCCCTCTTTGCTCAAGTTCCTAAACAAACGGCCTCAACCCAGTACTTGGGGTTCATGGGTTTACTGTGAATGTAAGATTATAAGTCGGGTAACGATGGCTAGAACCCTATTTTGTGTACTTGAGAACCCCACTTATTTTTACTAGTACTAGTACTCGATTATTGTGATTATCATTATTCTCAGTATGACTATGACTATTTTTTATTCAGTGCCCATGAACCTCCACGTAGAGACCTCTTCCAGTCGGGAAGATCCGGGAAGACTGGGTCCGCTACCTCCCTGCTCTCGTGGAAAGAAGCCACGGCCTCGAGCCTCCAGCGCTTGTTGGGTGATTGTGCTCTAAAATAATTGGTTTAGGGTTTCGGGTTAAGCCCAAAGCCGTCAGGAGCATTTGGCACCTTGTGCTTTCCCCCCAAGCCCCCCAAAAGCCCCCCCAAAAGCCCCCCAAACCAAAATCCCTAAGCCGTAGAGTGGCCCCCCCCCCCCCCACACCGTTGTCTTGAAGCGCCTGGGGATGGCTTTGGCTTTCGACCCTGAAACATCCCTTTTCTTTTCGGCCTCATCCCCGCTAGCCTCGCAGTGGAGCGTTTGTTATATTATAGCTTATCTGCTTGTCAACACATGCTCATGGCGGGAGGCCCAAGTGGCGCACCAAAGGGCACAAGCCATTCTCAAAAGCCTCGCCATAGCCTGGACAGCTCTTCTTGGGGCTGTTTAAGAATGGCCTCTTTTGCCGGGGTCCCCGATCTAAGGAATCGTGTGAAAACAGTGGCCTCTCAGGGCCGCCCTACTGTAGAACAATCCCCCAGAAAAGGTGCATCCAGTTCAGTGGTGCATTGCAACGTGTGCCCAGGTGAAGTGGAGCTCGGGAGGCCCAAGCTCGTGAAGCTCGGAAGTTAGCTCGGTGGCCGGCGAGCCATGGCTCTGCCTGAGCGCCAAAGGCGTCGATCCGGTGTGTCCATGGCCGCTATTTTGGTTGTGGCTTTGGCTGGATTGGCGGTGTTGCCTTTGGCTTTTTTGACAGGCAAGTCCGAGCAGTCTACGCCGGAACCGGCGCGCCGCGACGCGGTGCTGGCTGCTGCGGCTGCAGTGGCGGCCGCGGCAGCGCCGTTCTCAGGGGCTCGGGCAGAGGCTCCGACGACTCCAGCGACGCCGGTCTTCGTGGACAGCGCTGTCTTCGAGCGCTTGCAGCACTTCAAGGACATCGGCGTGCCCGCCACTTTACAGGACCCCATTGCACGCGCGGCCATAGCAGATGGCACCTGCCGCTTGGTGGTGGCTCCTGGATCCGGCCCTTTCCCTTTAGATGGCTACGCCTTCTGGCACCACAACCCAGAGCGCGTGAATGCAGTCCTGAAGGCTCTTGCTGAGTTGCCTTCCACATCCCAGCCCTCAAAGTTTGTGCGGGCAGCAAGGAAGCAGTTGCCAAATGCCTGTTTCTTCGGCCTCCGGACGGAGACTAGCAAGTTGGATCTCTACCAGCCGGCTGCGTTGGCCAAGACACTCTCGAACTGGCATCGGGCCCTGTGTGATCCTCAATGTGATGACCCTGCGGATGAGCCCCAACAGCAGGCCCTCACCACAGGCTTCATCTGCATGGCCGTCTGCGACACCGCGAAGATGAAATTCAGTGACGCTGCCATCGGCGCCTTCTCGGCCAGCGTGGCCGCGACGCAGGCTGCCACGAAGAGACTCGGGTTGCTTGCTATTGTAGCATTGTAGGCTGTCCTTCTATAAGACAGTTTTTCCGGAGAAAGCATTATCAAGCCAGAACAAACTCCCCATACCCCTCGCACAGGTACAGTGACTTTCACAAACCCCTCCCCTCGAACCACAAAACACACATCGCATCCGTGTTTAGTCCGGAAGGTTTGTGGGCTCGGTTCGCACAGGAAGGAATGGAGCGGAAGGGCTCCATAAGGCAAACTGAAGCAACGTTGAGTGTCTTTTGGTCACCCCCCTCTCGCCACCTTCTATGTGGATGAGTTTAGGGATCGCTACTTCTTCGTATTAGTTTAGGGATCTGGGGCCGGAAGCCTCTGGAAGTCATGAGCCAGCAATCAAGGGCATTTGTTGAATTTACGTTCCTGTCCATCTGTTTCCTGTACTACGCTCATGAATATGCTCTTTGTACTACATTCACATGGCATGTTGTTATGATTAGCAGCTTTTAGCATCAACACCATGAGTGTACAGTCGGCCCAGCAGTTAAAGGAACATGTGCGCTGCTATGCCTTGGACCATCACCCGGGGGCCGCTCACAGTATTGGATGGTCTCAAATCCTACGACGCGATCGCCACGGCCACTGCACCATGGCGCAAAGTGTGCGGCTGTGCATGAAGTGACACGGCAGCACACTTCGGATCTTTAGCTAAGCATGGGGCATGCGCTGAGCTGCACAGATGTAGATATCGCGGCGCCGCAATTTGAAGCACTGATGCGTCTCTAGGCTGTGGCCAAGGCATGCAGAGATGCATCCCACCCAATACGGCAATCAGTTTTCCGGCGTGAAAAAGAAGTATCGAGATGTCCTGTGAACCCGCTAATGTTCTGGCTTGGTTTCGGTGGAGGAAGGAGCATGTCCATCAAGGAGGGCGAGCTTCAGTAAAGAAGTGAGGAAAAGGCATATTTTTCATCATGTTGAAAGTCTGAACCTCACAATGCGGGGTGGGGGGGGGCTCGAAGCCTGAGGCCCCTCTAGGGCTTTGGTGCTGTTTGCGCGGCAGTTTGCCATGTTTAGCCTGCATCCCGATCGAGGCGGGTCAGCTTTTCGCCAGGCACTTGACGTGCGCTTTCTCGCATGGGGGAATAAGCCCAACAGTCCTCCCCCCCGTCACAATCTCTTCGAACCCAAAGTCACGGTGACATGCAGACGCTCGTGTTGCAAGCCTTGAGCATCACACTGCAACGCGAGAACGCGCGTGCGGTGGTGCGCAGGGCAGGTTGGGACCTGGCTGCCACCACTGCGGCGCTAGACCAGCCGTGACCTGCCGACGATCGCTCCCAGGTCGCGCCTTGATGTTCTGCGCACTGCGCAGCGGGGAAACCACCTCGACAGGTTTGCAGGTCCGGCTGAGCTGTCTGCCCCACTCATATGCAGAATGCTTTTCTTACTATCCTTTTGCAATTTTGCTAGCGTGCCGCCCTGAGAAGTAGGAGCGGTTGAGAGCCTCTTTGTATTGCGCTCCGCCCTTAGAAGTAGGTGTGGACGTCGGCTTCGACTGTAGGGATTGTGGGGTCCTCATGGGGTCTTCGGGATGCTGTTTTGTTTGTTGTGTTGCACCGCCCGCTGTCAGAAGTAGGAGCAGGAGGTAGTTCTCCCCAGTTGGAGAATCGAAGTAGTGATTTTCTAGCAGGGCATGACTGTCTGTTCTTGGTGCATCACTGTCTCCGAAACAAGTTGCCGCAATGGCAGAGCCGCAGAGCGGTTGAGCACAACGTGTGCGATTTGAAAGAGAGGGCCTTTGAAGGTTCGCAGCTGGGGAAAAGGATAGGAGCTCACACTTTCCCCGACAGGCTGCTTGATCATGATGGCATGGAGGGACTGCATTGCAAATCACCTGACTGCTTTCTCCAGTCTTGAGGGAGGCCGTGACTTGCGAGCCCTGAGCGCGGTGAGCCAGTCCTGGTCTTGGCTTTCTTGTGGCTTTCTTCTGGCGACAGATTGCATTCGGCTTGCCAGTGCCCTGCAACTCATCCGCGACCGAAGCACTGGGCTGGATTTCCATGCCGAGGGCCAAACAAAGACAATGCACCCGCACCCGTACAGCTCAATGTGCACGAGTTGCGGATTGGGCATCGCAAATGGCACTCCGGTACCTCTGGGCCAGCAGTGCCGGGACTCAGTGCCGCTAGAAGGAGATCCCCGGCTGGGCGCTCTGGCCAAGAAAGTTCCGTGCAATGAGACATTTCTCCGTGGGAAGATCATGTTTGGCAACTAACAAGCACTTTGCTTTTGAAGTGTTGGAACTTGATCGTTCTGCTCAAGCCCTGGCCAAGATCTTTGCGGAAGCACGGGATTGCCAAGGAGGAGTGCACCCCGACAGTCTGGAATGTGTCCTTTCGGGCGAGGTTTGAGGATGTGCTTTCGATGGCGTGCCGCGCCCTTCATGGGAGTTTGAAGTTACGTTGTGCTGAACTTGAAGAAGGCACTGTCCTGCTACATGAGAACCAACAGCAGCAGTCGAGTGTCCACTAGGCACAGAAGGCCATTTGCTGTGTAACAGCACCTCTTATGTCTGAAAAGGATTTGGCCTGGCACTGTGGCAATCAGTTGCGCTCCCAGCAGGCTGGTGAACTTGCAGTTCGCACGCAGCGGCATGTGCCGCAGGTGGGATCAAGGAAGCTTTCGGAAACCGACAAGCTTCTGGATGCAGAGAGTGTGAAGATGTCCTTGACTGCAACTCATGCCTTGCTACCGTGGACATGGGCATGACTCCTGTGAAGTGACCGAGGAGGTGATCGTAGAATGCTTCTCGGAGTGTGGCGTCCAGATCAAGAGCGACATCAAGGCAGCTACAGACATTGGAGCTGTTGCTGGCCATGTGCATGAAATCTTGAAGCGATTCTGGGGGCGTCCTCGGGACACCTTGTCAGATGCTGATGGGGCGGAGGTGAGTTTGGTTGGTGGCGAGACATTTTTTTTGAGGCAAAGGACAGCGAAGTGCAGATCAGCATCAGCAACACTTCCTCTGACAACGGTGTGGATCAAACAGAGGTTCTTCAAAGTGAGAAGCGTCTTTTGAAGCACAGCATATGGCAAGTGCTCAAGGCGAGCCTAGACGGGACATCCTGCCTTGCTGCATGAATAAACGCAGGATGCGAGATGGATCGCCGCTTTGGTGGCCCCAAACATTTGCGCAAGACTTCGGCGACTTCAGTTCGGACTCGGAGCGTGACTCTCTATTTGATATATTCTGGGGGGGGGGGGGCCTGTGAAATCAGGGCACCTCTGGCCAAGCTGGGCATCGAATCTTGGCTTTGCGCTTCTTATTCCTTTTCGGGTTCATCAGTGAGGCACTGGGCAAGCCATTTCTGTCGGCTACAATTTTGGCCGACACGATCTGCATATCACACAGAGTCCTATCAAAGACATTCCTGTTCTTCCGTGCTTGGTTTGAGAGGTCTCGCCACATTGATTATCTACGTAGACGATGTTCCCATTACCACACGGCGGTGGGTGTGTTGGGTAGACAAGGGGTCCCCAGCACAGGTATTTCTGACCTCACATGACCAGAGGAGCAGCTGGACCTCTGCCAAATATGCATTCTGACTCAGGTTTCGATGCTTCTTGGTAGCCATAGGAGCCATAGTCATGCCCCAATTCATAAGGGGGACCCTACCTAATGTAGAACAGTCTCTTAAAGTTGGGTTCGTTTAGGGGCTCAGGGATTCAGTCTCAGCGGTCGTACGAGCGTTTGTCTGCATAATCAGTCATCCTCCTCTGATTCTTCTGCCAGATCTGTTGTCCTCTCTGATTTTAGCTGTAACAGGACTATGGTAGCAATCAAAAGCAGTAGTTTGAAGCAGTCACCGGTGTGGGAGTGTGAACAGGAGGAGGAGGATGAAAAGGATTGGGTGGTCTAGAGTTTACAGGGACAGTGGCTAGGCACATGCCTGTGTCCGGGCAAACTGGACCCCAAAGATCTCCCTAAACGAAAGCCCAACAACAACAACAACAACAGCAACAGCAACAGCAACAGCAACAGCAACAGCAACAGCAACAGCAACAGCAACAGCAACAGCAACAGCAACAGCAACAGCAACAGCAACAGCAACAGCAACAGCAAAGAGCCCCACTTGCACCATGCTTCAGCTCTGCTTGATGATCTTGTCACATAAAGCATCTGTTCTCCGTGCCAGCTTCTGTGGGCGACTGTGCGAATCTCAAAGGGAGCCGGACCGCGCGCTGGACGCAAGGGTCGCACTCAACAAGGGCATTGAATATTGCAGCAGTCCATGAACGGTCGCATGAAACCGTACATGAAACCCACCACTTTAGCCCTTCGTGCGCCGTAAATTGAGCGTGATCCTCCCCTTGTGACTTTAAGGGAAGTCGTCTCCAGGCATCCTAATTAAGCCGCATGTCCACAGGCAGTCAAAAAGTCGACATCTCCTTACGTTTTGTGACTCGGTTTAGTGCATCTGCCATGGCTTCCGCAGCCATGGAGAAGCAACGTTTTACCGAGTTGCTCGACGCGTCCTTGTTAGACTTCCGGCGGCATATGCTGGATGGCTTTGGCGCAGAAGACTCTGCCAGCTCCTCTGCTCTGGGAATGGACAGTCCAGCTGATCCGCGGTCTGATAGGATCTTGGAGAGTGTGGAGATGAGCGAGATGGCATCACAAAAGCAGCAGGAGCTGGAGGCAACAGCCTGGGCCAGGGCCAACGCCGTCCATCCAACAGAGGAACGAGGTGTCTCTGGTGACACAGAGATGTCTTCCATAACGCCGACGGACGAGCGCGAAAGTGTTTCCGAACTGCTCCAAGGAGCCTTTTCCGAGTACTTAGGACTCCATCATGGCACTGTTATTTCGGGCGTTGTTTTTGTCTCTCGAATTCTTGTGCCAACGACTTGTGCTGGCGCCTTGAGTGAGTCCCAAACATCCTAAGCCACCCTACAGCCCCAGAACAACCGAAACACGACACAACAGGTATTTGCCTTCTCGGGTCGTGGGCAATACGAGAGAGGCACTCGCCATCCGGCATCGGTTGAGGGTGCGCCTGGGAGCCATCTCCCCGAGGAGACCAAGCTGACCCCCAAAAAAGGGGGTTTAGGGTTAAGGGTTTTGGGTGTAAAGTTTAGTAGGGTTTTGGGTTCTAATCTCTTTAATTTAGCTGTTAAAAGAACCATGGATCCTGCTGTTGGGGTTTCGGGGATCTGGGGTTCGCTTTGTGTTTTGCTTGGCATTTGTATACATATAGGCATATATATATATATATATACGTATGTATGTGTGTATACATATATATATATATGTGTGTGTGTGTGTGTGTGTGTGCGTATTTCTACATATGCGTATATACATTTATGTATTTACAAATTTGCAGGGCTCAAGACTCTGAGGGCTTGCAGTAGTGGGAGAGGGGGAGGCACCCTACACCCTAAACCCTAAACCCTTGCTCCAAAAAAGTAGCGAAGGACTTTGGTGACCGGGAAGTCCTTGTTCGAAGCCGTTTCCTCTTTGGGACTGACCACCTACACCGAGGAGGACTCCCCGACTGCTGGAAGAATTGCTGCTGCTTCTCTTTGGGGCCCTAAACCCAAAATCCTAAACCCGAAACCCAAGGATATTTAGGACCTCGCACTGTGGTTTCCAAAAGGGCCATCAGCTCACCACTCCCACTCGTCTTGTAGGCTCTGCTCCACACGGCTTCTGTCGGTTTATGTTCTAGGGGACCATGCCAGGATCCCCTGATTGCAGAGTTCCCGTACTCCGAAGCCTGCTCCGTGCTGGTAATTGCCAAAAGGTTCTCACAAGCATTGTTCGCACTTCTTCTCCTCCCTCTCACCCTTGAATTTCTGAAGACCTGTCGGCATTCCGCCGCGCTGGTCGTGGCCTGGTGAACCCTATCTAGCCCTGAACCCCAAAACCCCTTTTCCCAAGCAAACCCCCTCAAGCCAGTAGGACATGAATGCCATGCTGAATCTGCTCGGTGACTTCATCAACCTGACATTCGAGGATGGGGGGGTGGAGGACCCGAAGCGATCTAGGGGCCAAGTTTTTGGGTGCCTTGTTTGGGGCTTAGGGGTTTAGGGTTTAGTGCTTAGGGCCTCAACTTTTGCACCTGACTTTGTTCAGGAAGACAGAGTTGAGGGGGGAGTTCAGGGGGAGTCTGTGAATTTTGAGTGGTCCTGACTTTCCCTTTGTACGCAAGTTTCAAATGTGGTGACGGTGCAGAGAGGACTCGGAGACGCATAGCCATGGCCCTGACTTGGACCGCTTTCTCTTCAAGCAAAAGGCCCGAATTCATGGCAAAGCCGCCGCTCAGCTTAAGGTGCGTTGATCCTCCCCGAAAGCCCAGAACTACAAAAACGGCCTTCCAAGCAAAACGCGCTAACAACAGCGCAGCCGAGCAAACATGGTGCTTTTGAAAGGCCTGAACCAGCCTCCCGAAGCCCCCCTATGCCCCAAACCTTAGAAACCCTAAACCTTAAACCCTCAGCCCTGATCACGGTGAGGTGTGGGAGTGGCCTTCGAGGGAGGGTGGAAGTCCACACAGGTGCCATGGGAGGGGAAGAGTTCTTTAGATATTTGTCGGGGAAGCCCTATAAACCTGATAAACCCTGTCGAAAGGAGCTGAGTAGGTAACCCTTAACCATTTGGGGGTATACATATAATCCTGCCATGATGGAAAGGTTAACCGTTTTTGGAGGTCGTTGTTTGGGGGTCTTTACGGCCCTTGAGGTCTTATAGGAGTCCCAAGCGCGCAGAAAGCTGGACACGAACTGCTGCGTACATTGTTGTCGCGTGGGTTCTTGGGCAGTGAAACACGCGAACTACGAAGACAGCACATGGCACTGCTGAAAACCTCTCGTAACCGATGTTTTTTTTCAGATTTTACATCCGAAACTGTGAAAATCTGAAATTTGTGACATGCAATACAGCACGACCTCACGATTTCCTCTTCAGGAAATGGCTGCCAGAGCCTTAAAGAAGTCTTCTGCCATTGGCAGCTGGTACCTCCAAACAAGAGTATTAAAGAGGTATCGAAAGGGTTTGGAATGCTTGGGTGTAAGTTAGTGCTTGGGGTGTTGTGTTGATTCCTTCCTTGCAGCCTGTTGTTCAAAGAGGCTCACACAGGCAAAGCCACTACAGATAACAGTTTCATCATGATTATCGTCTTTATGTATCTTGTTCTCTCTTTTTCTTTGTTGTTTTTCTTTTTTTTCCGGGTCTTTCCGTTGTTGGCTCCTTCGTCCTCCTTCGTCCTGAACTTAAAGATGTTTGAATGTCTGTCGATCTGTTTGTCTTTATTTGGTCATTCATGCGTTTTGGGCCCGGTGTTTTTTTCTTTCCTAACGTTGGCCCTGGCTTGTTTGCCTTGGTAGCGTTGGCCCCAGGCCTTCTGGTCATCTGGTCCCCTGGTCCTGTGGTCCCGTGGTCCTCAGGTCCCCTGGTCCTTTGGTCCCCTCCTCTGGTCCCGCGGTCCTCTGGTCCCGTGGTCCTCTGGTTCCGTGGTCCTCTGGTCCCGCGGTCCTTGGGTCCCGCGGTCCTTTGGTCCTCTGTCCCGTGGTCTCCCGGTACCGCGGTCATTTGATTGTATCAATGTAGTATGTTTTCGTAGTAATAGTATAATAAGGCATGTAGTATGGTCCCGCGTTTCCTGGTCCCGCAATCAGATTTTGGTTGTAATAATTTCTGTAGTATAACGTAGTATCATATAATACGTGAAAATATATAGACAACATACATATATTATATATACAAAAATGGCTTATAAGAATATATACATATAATATAATACCATATAATTATTTTTTGTATATACTAAATATGTATTGTGTTTTATTTATTCTACGTAGAATAAACCATAACATATAGGTTATGAAAACATATTATTGATTAATAACTCTATATATATATATAAATAAATATCTATGTATTCATTTCTTTCTTTATTTATTAGATATTGAATAAATATACAATATAGACAGCACATTTTTTTTTTTTTGGGGGGGGGGGGCGGGCAAGCTTGCTTCAACGCGTATGAATCCTTCCAAAGCCATGATGCGAGCATTGTGTTTGCAAATGGGGGGGGCTGCCCCCCCCCTAACCCCCCCGCTGTTCTTTAAGCCGGGCAAGCTTGCTTTAAAGCATATGAACCCCTTCCAAACCCATGATTCGAGCAATGTCTTTGCAAAATAAACATCAACACACAAGAAGGTACAATCATGTACAAGAATATACAGGAATACAACATATTTACAATAATATGCAATCATATACAATAATATACAATAATATACAATAATATACAATAATATACAATAATATACAATAATATACAATAATATACGATAATATACAATAACATACAACAATATACAATAATATACAATAATATACAATAATATACAACTATTTACAAAAATACAGCTATAGACCAGAAGATACAGTAATATACAATAAAAAACAATTAACAACAATATACAGCAAAATACAACAATATACAACAATATGCAACAATATACAATAATATACAATAATATACAATAATATACAAGAATATACAAGAATATACAAGAATATGCACTAATATATAGCAATACACAACAATTTACAATATTTCACAGTCATATCCAATAATATACAGTAACATAGAATACTATACAACAACATACAACAATATACAAGAACTGAGAATGGTATGCAAGAATATTGCGAATATACATCAATTTTCAATAATATGCAACCATATGCACTAATGTACAATAATGTACAGGAAAGTACAAGACAATGCAATAATATTCAATAATACACAGCAATATACAATATCTACAATAATATACAAGAGCATGCAACAATTTACAACATTATCCAATACCATACAATAATATACAATATTTTGCAATAATATTTAGTAATATACAACAACATACAGGAATGGACAATATTTTGCAAGAATATACAGTAAGCTATAAGAAGATACTACCATGAAGAAAATACAATAATATTCCATAATACAAGATGTTTGAATAATTCACGACAATATGCAATAATATACAAAACATTCAAGAATACGCAACAATACGCGCTAATAAGCAAAAATATACATAAGAATAGCTTACAATATTATACAATAATTTTCAATAGTATACAACAATATACGAAAATATACAATAATATACAAAACATTCAATAAAGTGCAACAATCAAGAAGACTATGCAAGAATGAAGTAAGATACAAGAATGGTGAATAATATCAATAGCATTCAAGAATATACAATCATGTACAATAGTGCATTAATAGAATAGCATAGAAATGTTGTGTTTTTCATCATTTAGAGCCTGCAAGCAGGTGCAATGCTGCAATCTACAGCATTTCATGCTTTGTAATACGCAGAAATGCTGTGTTTTTAGGCGTTTAGGGCCTACAAGCACCCGGAAATGCTGCATTTCATAGCATTTAGAGCCAGGAATTGCTTGGCCAACGTTAGCAAGGACCACGAGCCAGGGCCAACGTTAGGAAAAAAAAACACCTCCGCCCATGCGTTTTTGTCTTTGTTTCTGTACACTGCTTCTTTATGGCGTTATTTCTTTGTGTCGTTCGTTCTTTCTGTCTTTTTTTGTCTGGGGAGGGCGGGGCGTAGCAACGCCCATTCAGATGGCGGCCATGCCGAAAACGGCGGTATTTACAGCGCTTTCGCCTCTCTGCACAACATACTGAATGTTCCGCTTGGGTTCATGATTGTATAAGGTCGGCAGGAAAGTTATTACCCCTTCCCTCCCCCACCCCGAAACCTCCGAAAGGCCATAACACGACCAGGTTCTTTAGGCGCCTTATAGGAGGGCTTGCTTTGCTGAGGAGCTGGGAAGTTCTAAAGACTGCCTTGCTCCACTGCCATAGCCGCGTCGGAATTGTAGAACTGAAGGTTCAGGGTCCAAGCGGAAGCCCAAGCTGAAAAGTACTTTTCTGAGCCCCAAAACCAAACAGAACCGCAAAAACCAACAACCTAAAGCTGAAACCCTCAAAGTGCAGAAAGAGAACACGCCCCTGCAGGCCTGCAGCCACGCAGGATCTACTGCCCAGGTGTTGTTTCAATGCCGTTTCTGGGCGCTCAGCGGCCTAGGGCCATTAAGGTACATGTGTAGGACATGTCGAGAGCAACTGAGTTAGGGTCTTCCAGGAGCATTTGGAAGCATTTAGGAATGTCAGAGGCATCAAGGGTCTTTAATAAAGGAGTTGTAATAGGTGTCTTGTCGAAGGGGCGATCCTTAACAAGTGCTACGCACTCCCTAAAACCCCTTTGAGCATCCTCTCAGCCCGAATCCCCCCCAAAACCCCAACATCTCTCAGGTTCCGGCCCAGGCCCTGATGGAGATCTTCCTTTCACAGGAGTCTGACGTTCACAGGCAGATCTTCGGGGCCCGAGGCCTGAATCAGTTCAGAGCCTCGGCGCAAGCATTTCTGACGGGTGTGTGTGTGTGTGTGTGTGGGTGGGTGGGTGTGTGTGTGTGTGTGTGTGTGTGCGCGCGCGTGTGCGTGTGTTTGTGTTTCTGTTGCTTTTTGTTGTTGTTTGTTGTGGTTTGGGTGATTTTGTTTTTGTTGGTTTGTTGTTGTGTGTGTGTGTGCTTTTAATTAATGCGGCTTCATTTTTTAGAAATTTTTTGAAATTAGTTGAAAAAAGTTGAAATTAGTTGAAATCAATTGAAAGTAATTGAGCTGATGAAAATTAAAGAATACTAATTGCGATTTATTAATATCAGATAAATACGCTAAAACAAATCCCAACAATCAGGTAAATTAACTAAAATGAGTTCAAATGAAATACATTACAAATTCCTCAAAATTGACCAAAATGAAATTAAAAGTAACAAAAACTACTTAGAATTCATAAAAATTGTTTTCATTAACTGTACTTAATTTCAATTGATTACATTTTTTTACGTAATTGCAATTATTTTAAATTAGCTGGAATCAATTTAATTCGTTTAAATTCGTTTTCATTTCTGTTAATTAATGCATTTTCATGAATTTCAGTGATGTTGAGTTGATTTTTCTTAATTTTCTTTAATTTTGCTTAACACATGTTGCTAATTAGTTTTTGGTTAGTTTCAACTAGTTTGAATTGTGTGTATTATTTTACTTAATTTCCATTTGTTTTTGCTTCATTTTTCTTAATCTTTATGTGTCTTTATCAAATGATTAGAACTTTCATAAATGTTAATCAATAAATTAATTACAGTTAATCAATTTTTTTGGATTAATATTATCTTGGTTGTGAGTAGTTTCAATTCATTCTATTTCATTTTATTTCATTTTAGTTTGTTTTTATTGGTTGCATTTTCGTTTATAGAAATTTGAATTGATCTGAATTCATTTTTAATGATTTTTTCAGGCTTTTTCAGTAATTTAGAATAGAATTGTGTTTTTACAATTTTGATGAGTTGTGCAAGTAATTTCATGTAAGTAAGAACTCTAATTCATTTGAACTAGTTTAGTTGAATATATTCATTTTTCATCGATTCTGCGTATTTTGCATTAATTCTAATTAGTTTTAATTCATTTGAATTCTTTTTGCATATTTGAACCAATTCATTTGAGTAAGTTTCAAACATGTTTAATTACTTTTTACATCATGTTTAGTTCTGTTGGTTGTTTTAAGTCTCTTTTTTGATTAGTTAAAAGCTTGCCCTACCCCGATATTAGGTACCCGTAAGAAATCGTACAACCCCCCTGATAAATAAGAATTCCGCTCCCCCAATTAAAGAATGAGGAGCCATGCGGGAGATCCTCTTGGCGTCCGATACCAACCGGCTCGTCGCGGAGCTCACCTTCGTGAGGAAATTTTGATGGGGGGGGAGTACTATAATTCCTATCAAGGACTGAAAAACAGAATAGGGGGGGCACAAGAATCCCAATTAAGGACTGTAAAAATGTGTAAGGGGGAACAGGATCAATGACCTTGCGGCCCCGCCGGAGCCAGTGGATCCGCTCTTTTACATCGAGCCTTGGAGGGATGGAAACTTCTTCTAGTCGAAATATTTCTTCCTGGGACTCTATAATTACCTACAGCTGCCTAGTAGCTACCCTTAAGGAGTAGGTGTAACCTTCTGGAAGCTTAAGGAGCCGGTGGTGGCCATCTTGATTGTGGGCAATGGCATCATGGTTGGCTTCCAGACAGATCCGCAGTTTCAGGATTATGAGGGCTGGACAATCCTGGAGCTGGCGTTTTCCGTGTGCCTGATGTTGGAAATTTTCTTGCGGATGTATCTGCAGGGCTCCTACGAGTACTGGTGTGGATCAGATCGGTGGTGGAATTTGTTCGACTTACTGTTGGCGGGAACAGGAGTCATCGACCTGATCATGCAAGCTGTCCGGCAAGAGAAGTCGGATGTTGCGGGTGCGTCTCTCCTCCGATTCTGCAGGCTGATTCGGCTCGTTCGGATTGTGCAGCTGGGATGCCCAGTACCATGTTTAAGTTTTTTTGGTAGGGCGAGGAGGCCTCTAAACGTTAGCAAATAATTGCCGAGGGGGGGGGGGGGGGGGGGGGGGGCATCCTACCCCTAGGAAAGTCTTTCGCATCAAGTTCATGAAGGACCTGCGCCTGATGGTCAAAGGCCTCATCGCTGGAGTGCGGACCCTTACCTTGGCATTCTTCCTGCTCATCTCGGTCCTGCACCTTAGCTGCGATGCTTATGGTTTGCGACTTTTAAATATATATATATATATATATATATGGTAACTTGACGTTAGTCTTGTCAGTTCCTCAACTCAGCCAAGCAGCCAAGGTACGTCATCGCTGGCTTCGCCACCATAACGATTGGCCAGGACTCCCGCACTTATGATCTCGAACTCGAGCGCTACTTCCGCAATATCCCCGCCTCTATGTTCACAGCTTTCCGCTGCTTCAACGGAGACGAGGCTGCCTTAAGAATCTGGTAGATTGTGGGCCACCAACTGCTCGAAGACGGTACAGATGTCGAAATTTTGGAGTATGGTCATTGGGGTGATTAATATTGATTAATTATTGATTTGCATCTCAGGTTTTTGGGGGTGGTCGCAGGGGGACGGGGGGTTTCAGCACACTTGAGAGATGTGTGATACTTGTATGTGGCAGAAGCTGCAAAGCCTTTGGGAAGATGCAAAAAACTACATAGTAGTCCACTTAAGAAGTTGAAGCTGCCTCCCGTCTCCCCTATGAACCCTAAACTCCGCCTAAACTCACCCAAGGAGAGTGTGTCAATGAGAGAGGCCTGCCAATCAATGACTTGCTTGCTGATGCACTCGGCTTGCCCTTCATTGCGGGTTACGTGGCCTGCTACATGCTTGTGGCCATGGGGATTTTCAACGTAATCCTTGCTGTTTACGTCGACATTACGATGAAGGCCGCCAAAGAGAACGATGCCGTCACTGCAGAGCAGCACGCAAGAGAATCCATCCGTGTGGCCAAAACCACCCGGGAGTTGCTTAAGAAGTTTGCAGGGGCTTATCATGTCTTTGCTGACCAGGGGGAATCCGACCGGAAGAATCTCGATAAGCTGCCTTCTGAAATCCTGCTCACAGAGGATGGGCTGCATGACAAGATTGCGATTACGAAGGAGCTCTTTCTGCTTATCATCCAGGATCCCAAGGTTCAGCGCTTGATGGACGAGCTTGAGCTTCCGCCGGATCGCGCCAACCTCTTCGAGATCATCGACGCCGACGGCAGCGGAACGCTACACGTGACCGAGCTGCTCGGAGAGAGGCTTAAGAGTAGGCTGCCCTGAGAGTTCTTATCGCAGGCTTGCTGGGAATCAGGGAACGGAGTATATGAGGGTTCAACTTCTTTCTGCACATACAGTAACTATGCAGCCGAAACCCTATAAACTTCCGAAACCTTACAAACTCATGTAACTCATGGGAAGGCAAGCAGAAACCCTAAACCCCAAGCCTTCTAAATACGAATCTCCCTAAACTTCCCGAGTGTCACATCTCATTCTCAGCCCTCCGGAGTTCCGGAGGTTGCTGCACGGCCTCCTGAAGATCCGCGGGGAGCTCAACAAGAGCGACGTCGTGGCCTCCCTCTTGGCCACCAAGGCTGTGCAGGACGCTAGGGTTCATAGGGGAGTAGGCTTTTCCAGGGTTTCTAGTGTAGGGTTTTATAGTTAGGGTTTATAAAGGGTTCAGCATGTTATAAGGGATTTCTTGTTACCCAGTGGTACCCTTTGCCCTTTCTCTTTGAAGTAACCAACCCCAATTCAAAAAAGTTGGCCTTGCTATAATATAGTTACTGGGCTACCAAGACTTTAAACAGAAGGCTTCTTATGGCGTTTGAAGGCTTTTTTTCAGTTGTTTTAGGCATTGTTGGGCTTTTGGCTTTGGGATTAGGGCTTAGTCGGGCTTGGCTGAGTAGGTAACCTTTTGAGCCCTTCATCTCACCCCCAGAAAAAGAAAAGGAAAAGCATAAACCCGAAGCCAAAAAAAGGAAAAATGCTACAAACCCTCTAAGCCCCACAAAAGATCTATACCCCCGCTCAGAAAGGAGACCCTAACCCCAAAATCCCCTAAACCCAGGACATGGTCAACGAGTTCAAGACGCAGTGCGTGGAGCAGCTCACAGTCCTACGTCAGGAGCTGGCGCAGCAAATCGCGGAGGTCAACCAGCACCTGGGCCGGGGGTTTTTAGGGTTATAGGGTTATAGGGTTATAGGGTTTAGGGTTTAGGGTTTAGGGTTTAGGGTTTGTAGGGTTTGTAGGGTTTGTAGGGTTTGTAGGGTTTAGGGTTTAGGGTTTAGGGTTTATAGTGTTTGTAGGGTTTGTAGGGTTTGTAGGGTTTATAGGGTTTGTAGGGTTTATAGGGTTTATAGGGTTTACAGGGTTTCTAGGGTTTCTAGGGTTTCTAGGGTTTCGGGTTTAGGGTTTAGGGTTGGGTTTAGGGCTTTACATATTTAATTGGTTTAGGATTGGGGGTTCAGGGCTTACAGGGGTTTAAAAATTTCAGGGGTTTAGGGTGTGTGGGGTTTAGGGTAAACCCTTTGTTGTGGTGCTTCTCTCCACATATGAGGACTGGAGAGTATTGTGGGTGTGTGAAGGGAGGCTCTCCTATGTTTGGGGAAAATGCCCGGATTTCGGAGAAAGGAGTTGCAGTTAGGGCTTATAAAACAGGAACTTCTTGCCCGTTTCCTGTAATTCCTGCAAAGCAACCCAGGCACGTCGGCAAGATCAGGCTCAAAGTCCACAGAGTCAGATCCAAGCACCACGTGAAAGACCTCAACAGCCTGAAGTCGCCAAGTCGGCCGACAGATGTGTCTCCGGACGATGCGGAGCCGCCCAGTTCTTAGCAGCTTGATCAGCATATGTCGCAGCTACTGAAGCCAATTGAAGCCATGGCTTTGAAGATCTTTGAAGCTACTGATGCCTCTGGGAGAACAGTGGAGCACTCTAAGTGCGCATCCGAGAGACCCCCCCCCCCCCCCCGCACAATCCCAATTTCTCTAATTTCACGGTTGAGCGGCCAAGCTGCTACAACTCAAGCTCGTCGCAGCTCTTTTCGATAAGGCTTAAGGTGGAAAACTTTCTAAACGCGATAAACCTCCTGTAAAAAACCCTATGAACCCTATCATTGGTAGCAGCCTCGTTGCTACCACCGCTGCTTGGGCAGCGTTTCCATTAGTTATCTTACTGTTCTACTTCTTCTGCTCATCCAAGACTAGTACTACTCGTTGCATTGGTACTGATGAGACAGGAACCATTGCTACTCTACGCGGTATGTTGAGAGTGTTCCTCTATCTACTGCGTGTGTTGCTGCATTTCCTTCTGCGATCGTGCTGCGCCCATGCTGCGGGCTAAAATGCCGCGTCGGCGCTATCAACCGCCAGGTTCTTTTTCAAACAACCGTTGCCGAGAATTACGGTTTTCTTCTTTGGGCTCAGCCAGACAGGCAGGAAGAAGCAAAAGAACCACGAACTACCAAAATGAGAAGTCGTGATTCTTAGCATTTGCTTCATAGCTTCGGAGCCCCGGGAAGCGCCACGTTTTATCTCACTCCAATGTTTCTGAGCCCGGTTGGGCGTCGCACAGCCTTCCAGTGATCGAGCCGGTGTCGCCGTGCGAAACGAGGCGCCTGGCTATCGTGGCCCTTTTTAGGTTGCCTACACAACGTGTTGGATGCCAAACCAAAGTCTTCGTGGTCCCCCGCAGATGAAAGCAGAAATCGACCTTTGACGGAACCTAGACCCTAAACCCTAAACCCTAAAACCCAGAGGTTTAAAGGTTATAGGGCGAAGGGGCCATGCTTTGCCTGCCCTACAAGTGGACGAACACAGGCGACCGCCGAAACAGGGCTTCCAGTTTACAGAACATGGCTTTATATATCTAAACCCCAAGGTTGGTGTTTTTTCAACAAAAAGGGCTTTGAAAAGCACCATGCCTTTTGTTTAAGAACAGGACTTTTCAAAGCCCGCTTTTGTTTCCAAAAGCTCTCTTTCTCCCATAGAGGTGCTTTCTGTAGAGCTGCCGTTTCGAGTTGCGGTGTCTATGATTGTTTGAAGCTGGCGGCCCAAGACGGAAATGATCTGCCAGTAGTGGGTTTTCTTGCGTGCACGTGGTGCGCACGACTCCTTTACCAATGAAGTTTTTCCTTCAGCTCATTTGCCTCATCGTGCCTTCGGCGGCGATGAAAACAGCAGCTTAGGTCCAATTCGGAAACTCGTGTGGTAGATTATTTTTGCTGGCTTTTGCCAAGGCCCATAATTCCCGCCGTCCTTGCCCTAAGGACATGTCACGTACCATTCCGGTGGATGGAGCCAAGCAGGGGATGGAGCGCATTCTCCTCAACAACGCGGCCGCGGGGCTTTTTTCTCGGGGCAAGTTGTGGGGGGGGGGCGGGGGTGGGCCGCCTCTGAACCTCTGTGACCGGCGCACTTTCAGTCCAGGTCCACGACCTCGACGAGGCCAAGGAGATGCCGGACCCAGAGAAGAACGATGACATGGAGGGCATGGGCGGCCTCGGTGGGAACCTGGAGTTCATGATGCTGAAGCTCGCCCAGCTGGAGACATCTGATCAGTCCTTTTTAGAGTGTTTAGAGTTAAAAAAGAAAGAAAGCTCCGAGTATTTGAAGTGCCCCCACTTGAAGAGCTGCCTGTGTGTAGGAGACGATCGTGGAGCTTCAGCAGCTGCAAATCAAGGAAATGAACGAGTGGAGGCACGGCCACATGGCCGGAGAGCACAATGCTTCCAAGCCCCCGCCGTCGGCCCTGGAGGTGGGCGCTTCTGTACTCAGGATCTGAGCGCCTAGAAACTAGAAACGCCCATGCAAAGATGTCAGGTGAAGCTGGCGTCGGAGGCCAAGGCTCAGCACGCGCAGGACACTCTGAAGGGCGTCCTCCGCAAGCATCACCGGCAGCGGGAGACGCGCGAGTTCGCGACCCGCCCCAAGGCCGCGCCTGCACCTCCGCAGGCGCCGGAGGCGACGGCCCAGCTGATCCAGCGCTCCCGCTCCAACCATTCCAAGGAGAGGGCTGAGGAGCAGTCGCTGGATGTTTCTTGGGTCCATCCATTCTCCTCTTTGTTGCAGTCTTGTGATGCTTTGCAATGCTTTGAGAGTTTAGGTCAGTGTAGGTTTATTGGTAAGTAGGGGGTTCTAATAGGCTTCAAGGGTCTGAGCTTTTTTTGTTGTTTCGAAGGGGGTGCGAGGCGAGTGTGAATTCCAAAGTCCTCGGAGTTTTGACCTCCGGCACCGGCTTAATCGGCGACGCACTGGGAGACGCCTACGAGAAGGCCAAGGACCTTTCCGTTCCACATCAGAACGAACAGAAAACCCTTGCAGCTGCAGTTGCTAAACCCGCTCATCTAGCCGGAGCATGACCACAAAAGAGTCTTCAACAGGGGGCCCCGTGCTTTTGATGCCACCCAGAGGCCCCATAATTGGGTTCTTGTAGAGGAACTGTTTCGGATGTTTAGGGTTCAGGGTTTAGGGAGTTTAGGGTTTAGGGTGACTTGTAAACGCTGCAGGACCCAGTTGCCTTCGTGTCGGAGACGGTCATCGACACCGTGGACATGGCCATGGACAGCACCCCACCTCGACACCTCAAAAGCCGCCTCAATTTCACCCCTTTTTTGGCAGAGTGGGCTCATGTCTCCTCGGAAAAGAAGATTTCAAAAGTGCTGGGGTGAGGGATCGCATCAGTTAAGGGTCTAGCCGAGTCTTGGAACACCTTGAGCGCTTGAGGGCTCGCTTGAAACCCTTTGGCTCTGTAAGAGGACATCCTGTCCCGCGGCTTCACGGATGCCTGGCGGAACATTTATTTGGGGCTTGGGAGCAACCACCTCCCGTCCCTCCCCCTCTGGCACGAAATAAAGAACAAAGTGACAAAGCGCCTTTTTCTTCCCCAAAGTTCACGCCGTTATTTTTGAAGCCGAAGCGAGCAACATCCATTCGGCTCCAGGACTTCAAAGCTGGCTGCAACCCGAGCACGGCGCCAAGCGTAAAGGCGCAGGGGCACGGGAACGAGGGGGGGGGGGGGGCACCCCGAAGGGAAGCTCTTTCTGATTCTTTGTGTATTGTGTTGTATTGTAGTATCTAGATTTTACAATCTCGGATGGGATGGGGGAGGGCCTTGGAGGTAAGTGAGAACGGGCTTTGTGTCAAGTTCGGGCGGCAGAAGTGCTGGGTTCGGCTGATGGGTCAGAGCCTCACACTCTTCGACTTCAACTTCGGCAAAAAGTGCGTGGACTGGCCCGGCCCCTTGAAAACTGCGATCAAGCTTGGGAAAGGGTTGGCAAGTTGCCGCGGAGACTTTGGCGATGTCATGAAGTGCCTCGGCTCCGAGATCGCCGACAACGTCCCCGCCCTTAAGGCCACACTCACCATGGGCGACGAACTCCGGAAGTGCGCGAAGAGATCCAGCGCCGGTGACGTCATCAAGTGCCTGGGCTTCCGGATCATCCAACTCGTGCCTCCGCTGAGCTTCTTGAACCGGATGAGCGACATGCTCACCGAGTACGTGGAGGGCTTCGCCCCGCGTGGCCTCGACGGTGGCCAGCCAGGCTCAATGTTCTGAAACCTCACAAAGGCCCAAACCCCAGAATCCACAAACTCCTCAACAACATTCAACAACCCCAACCCCAGCCCCCAGACCCTCCCAAGCCCCCCCTGGTGCAGAGGCCCTCAAGGATGGCTACTCCTTGATCCAGGAGCAGAATTTTTGTGGAGCCCCCACTCTCCTCCCCCAACACAACAGACAAAACAACCGCGAAAAGCTGAGGGGGGGCACCTCGAAAAGCTACGAAACTGCCCGGTACCGCGTCATGGTAGTGCCCTCTCCCTCTCCCTCCCTCTCTGTCTCTCCCACTCTCTCTCGCCCGCTCTCTCTCTCTCTCTCTCTCTCCTCCCAACGCCCTCTCAAATCCCTTCGAAGCCTGCGGAGAAAAGGCCATGAGAGAATCTTCTCTCAAATCGACATACTTACTCGTACCCGAAAGCCTTTATTAAGATGATGCCCAATCAAAGCTCCCCCGCGCCCCCATAAACGCCCCCAGAGACTGACACAGGAGGCCTCCGTGTCCAAGTTCCCTGCCGCTGGCGCGGCTCCCGTAGTGAAGCACGAGAGCAGGAGTGCAGATTCAGCGGATGGAGATGAGTTTAGGAGGGTTATGGAGGGATTCAGATGCCCACCCTTAAACCGGGGGGGGGGGGTATGCAGGAGCGATTGTTGTGCTGCGCAGGGCCCGTAAAGCCCAATTTCCTCAAAGCCAAGAGAAGAGTCTAGACCCCAAACCCGCACCACGAAGTCTGCCCAATAATAATTGTAAACGCTTGCGCGCGCCGCCTCGGCAGCCGGGCCGGCCCCAGGACAGGAAAGGAGGAAAGAGGGTAAGGGGAGGAAGGGCAGCGGGGTTAAAGGGGGGGGTGGGGGGGGGTTGGACCTGGTTTAGTAGGGGCCTCCTCTATACAGTCAATTTGGCTGGGCTCTTCAGGACACCCTGACTGCTTGGGGGTGCGCGGTGGGATCCTGAACAAAGGCAAATCGTCCGGGGGCTTAAAAAAGATTGCCGGGCATCGCTGCCCCTTTTAAACTTCTCTAAACTCCTCCCTATTAAAATCATATAAACCCCGGCCCGACTGTTTGGAGGGGGGGGGGGGTGGTGGCCCACACTAAACCAGCTACAACATAAATCAGGATCAATATAATCAGAATGATAGTGTGGATGGAGGCAATCTTGCATGACTATCAAGGGTGCATAACATTTTCTCCCCTCGACCCCCTTTTCACACTGCGGCGAAGAGCAGATTTTGAGGATTCGGCCCAGTGACATAGATCTTGCACCGCTCCATCATGACATAACCAATTGTAAAAAGGGGTGTGGGGTTGAGGTCATATGGTGCATTTGGAGTAGATCAAGTCGGCGGCGCAAGGTCTTCTCCATCCACCGTAATAATCAGAACAATTATTCGAATGAGGAATCACAAGAGGTAGCAGTAGTAATCAGAACTGCCCTGAGAGCCCCGCCTCCACCGTAAGGAAACGCTTCAAACAAACCCCCAAGCCCTGAAACACGAACGTCGAAACCCTGGCAGCCCTCAAGTATGCGCCCAAACCGTTTGAACATCCTAACAAATCACTTAAATCCCTCACCCCCCAACCCCGAAGCCTCCAGCGCCAGTTCAGAAGGCCGAGCGTAGATTTTTGTTGCAGGGCGCGGTAGCACGATTAAGCTTATAGGCACTCTAAAAATGGACCGATTACCCACTGACTGAATCCCGAGAACGGACGACGGACACCGCAGCGTCCAGGAACTTCCTGATCCAAACCCACTCGCAGCGAAGCTCGGATGAGAGTGCTCAGGGCGCTGAGGAGTTCTTGCATTTCGGGCTCGACTCGGATATATAGGGTTTAAAGAAGGGTCTAATTAGAGGGTTTGTAGGGTTTGAGGGCAGAATTCCGGCGTGGGACTTTTTGTCGAAGGCTTGTCCCAGCTCTGAGCCCCAGCACCTCCTCGAGGTTCCTTAGCCGGAAGGCCGAAGGCCGAAGGCCCCACAATACTGACAAGCAGGGACAGCTTGGACAAGGGATTACCGGATTGTTTCAGGCTTGGGCTTTGGCAAAGAGTCTAGGGCACCTTGTGCCCCTAACCCTAAGCTACTGAGCCCCAAGCCCGAAGCCCTAAACCCTAATGTTTTTGTAGCCTCTTAAGGCAGAGAACTCTCAGCTTCGGAGATGGACAGAGACGGTCCAGAACCGGATGGCTTGGGCTTCGACATTAGCAACTTCACTGAGAGGGAGAGACGTTTCGGGGTTTGGGCTAAGAGTGACTGGTGGTTTGGCTTGGTTGGCAGCAGGGGTAAATTTTGGAGGGAGTTGGCTCTTACTCCGTGCTGCGTCGCTGCCACAACGTTTGCCCTCTGGATCCCTTCTTTGCTTCTTTCGGAGGTTACGAGGGCAGCAACTATGCTTCCAAGCTCATCACCCAGCTCCGCGGCCGATAAATGGGCTTGTCCCAGCCTGGCTTGTTTTTTTTTTTGTTTTGCGGGGGAGGGGGGGGAGTCATAACCTAGACCCTCTAAACCTTAGCAAAGGCCCACTTTGCAAGCCGAGGTTTGGGGGCAGGGAGACGGACACCAGCTCTTGCCTTGCCTTCGCACCCCAAACGCGTCGGTCGCGGAGAACCAAGAAGAAGACAGACTGGCAGGCGCGCCCCCTTCGGCTTGTGAATCCAGTTTTTTAAGTTTAGCCTGAACCTTTGAACCCTAAGCAAACTCCAAACTCTAAAGCCCAAAACGCCTAGCACTGGCTTTGGAGTTAATGGCACGCTGGCGTCCCCACACTGCTCTACTCCCACTTCAGTCCTTCACCGGCACATGAAGTGAATTGGGAAGTTAACCCTGCGATCAAGGAGCCCAGGGAGGCTGAGATTTGTAGCTTTTTGTATGCTCCGCGCATCCATCACTTTATGTCTTTACAAGATTATTCGGTACTTGATTTTTCAATAGGATCAGCAAGTTCCTGGCTGCTTAAACTTTCTTCCGGCGCCGGCGCGTCGCGATCTCCAAGCGGCAGGAGGTTTAAGGCGGTCCGGGTCCGGGGCTTGGATTCCTGCTTCGGGAGCATCGGGCATTTTCAGGTTTGAGGCTCATCGTCTGGTTGCGGCTTGGTTAATCAGAGAGACCCCGGCAGAGCCTCAACCCTTCCGCCCTAGTCCCCCTACACATATTCCTCACGTCTTAGGGCCAACGGGCCAACGATGGCTCACGATTTGGGTAGGCGCTCATTTTGTTTATGGGTTTAGGTTCCTTGTAAGTATAAGCCTCATTAATTAATATTGACCAAAAAGGGCAGCCCATGGATTCCGAGGTTACTCTTGGGTCTTGAGTCTACAACAAAGTAACCCTAAACCCTAAATTGCCCTAAACCTTAAAACCCTATACACCCCCAACAAGTTGAGGTGAAGAAGAAGGATGACTTCATCAAGCTGGAGCCTTGGGCCGTGCCCTGCGGTAACAGGTGGATGAAGGACAACCCATCGAAGTGGGAGGGCTGCTCGGATGGCTTCTAGGGCTTGGGGTGTAGGGTTTAAGGTTTAAGGTTTGTGGCCAGCAGCTCCCCGTAAAACCTCCCGCAAGGCCTACCCCTTCTGCCCCAGAAATCAGGCTTCTCCTTCTACACCGCCGAGCTGGCGATCGAAAAGTGCCTCACGGTGACCTACAAGATGATCTTCTGGGCATTTTAGCAGGCTTTGGGACTTTTTGCGGCTTAGGGAAGCTCTTAGGTTTTAGGGGGTTTAGAGTTCGTGAAGCTCTTAGGAGGCTTCTTTTCGGGAGTCTTGACAGGAACTTTCATGCGTTTGCCCTTCCTCCCCAGCGCCCCTCCATCGAAGGAGCCCTCCCTTAAGCTTCCCCTGTTTTGCTTTAAAGGCCCGAAGAGATCCCCAACACTCCTCGAGGAACGCGCAGCCAGTCTTGGCCTTCGTAGGAGGCTTGCAATTCGACGTGATGCCTGGGCCACTGGCTTCAGTGGATCCTGGGAGCGGTTTTGAGGTGTCAGTTGAGGGTTTTTGGGCGACTCCCCCGCACAGGGAATCGAACCTCAAAGGAGACCTAAATTTGCCTAAATCCCAGAACTCCAACCCGCCCCGAGACCCTGAACCTTAAACTACTTCCCGGCGCTCCCCAAAGTTTGCGAAAACCTTTGTGATTGTGGTGGGATTGCGTAGGGGCGCACCGAGGATGCCCAAGTGTGTTGGCCCACCGGGCGGCCAGATGGCATGGATCTGAGCATGCTGACCCTTGGTTGGAGCAAGGAATCCCTCTTTTGCTTTTTGCGGAATGCAGGCTTGTGCCTCGGGATGCTTTAAGCTGAACTTTGAAGGGTGCATGCGGGCCTGTCTTTAAAGGGTACATGGGTACATGTGGGGCTGTCTTAGGCTCCCTGCCTTGTGACGATGTGAAGCATCCTGAAAGCGTCAACCGACAGGAAGACAGTGATCCGATCCTGCGGTGTTACGCCTCTTGGGCTTCGTCCTGTGCTAGGCTGCAAGGCTTCACGTGTTGAACCGACTCAACGGCTTTGGCGGAGTTCCATATTGAGGGTTTGGGAGTGAGGCCTCATTTGATGAAGCCTAGGTCTTCCAGCCACACTCAAGATAAAGCCGACGAGCCCCACAGCCCCACAGGCCGTCTCCTCTTTCGAGGCCGAAAACTCCGTCCTTATGCCATGACTCCCCCATGAGCTAAGGCTCTTCAGTCGGACCATCCGCCTCAGCAAGCGATACGGCAGCAAGACGGACTTCACGGGGAAGAACACCTACCAGAGCACAGCAACCTGGAGCCGCCCTGCAAACCCACGCGAGGCCATGAGCCGGACGAAGCTTCCTGCTGGCATGTTTGAGGAAGGGAGAGGGCTCTGTTCTAACGAAGGGCTGTCTTTCTTTCTTTTGCTCAGGGGTTGCTTTCCACAAGGGTCTTGTCAAGTGTTTTCGTGGGGGATCTTTCTTCGGATTTCAGGGCCCGGATCTGATCGCGGCTTTTTGAGGCTGCACAGGCCGCTTGTGAAGGGTAGTTAGGAAGAGCGAGCTTTAAACTTTAGGGTTTGTAGGGGTACCTCAACAGAGGTGCCCTTTCCCGGAAAACTTAGACCGAGGTTCCTGGAGACGAACGCCAGCGTCCAGCAAGGCCCCTGGAACCAAAGCCAGGCTGGGAGCTCGCTGACTTTTTCTCGCCCCTCCCCCGTGTTTTTTTTTCTCTCCCTGGCCCAAACCCGCATGGATGCGAGGGCCCTGTTTTGCAGAGAAGAGCCCTGCGGCCTTTCGAGGCCTTTGATTGGGAGGAGCCGGTGGAGGAGAGCCGAGAGGGCGGGGGCGAGAGAGACAAGAAGATAAAGAAGATAAAGAAGAAGAAGAAGAAGAAGGAAGAAGGAATAGAGAGAGAGAGAGAGCTTTGTTTGGAGAGCAAGAGTAGGAGCTTTACTTGGCCTCGCTGGAACTGGGCCCGAACCGGCTGAACCGGAGCTCCGAGCTGCGGGGGGAGGCCGCCCTTCGGCGGCTGAAAGGCCTTGGGCTTTCTCTGGCCCAAGAGGCCCAAGAGCTGACGTCGACTTCCGCCAAGAACCTCTTCCAGCTCTTCAGCTTCAAGCACCCGGGCATGGTGAACTTCGAGCTGAAGGGTCTACTGGAGGGCAACAGCCTGGAGCTGGGCATCCGCATGGGCTTCGGGCCCTTTGAGTCCCAGGAGAAGAGGCTCAAGCTCGTGGACATCGCGGACCAATTTGCGGTGGTCCTCAATGCTCTGCCCTTCGTGTCTTCCAAGAGCAAGGACAAGGCCCTGAAGGCCCTCCGAGACTTCTCAAAGAGCTCTGTTCCACCACCGGTCCTGACACCTGGCACCCGCGTTGCCCTCTACAGCAAGAAGCACCGGCGTTTCCTCAAGGCGGGAAGCCGGGACATGGGCTCCACGAAAACCATGGACGTCGAGGCCCTGCGAAGTTCCTGGGATCGTGAGTACTTCACCGTGGTGGATGGTGGAAATGGGGAGATCGCGCTGCACAGTGCGCGGTACAACCGGTTCATGAGGATGCACAGCAAGACGAATATAGACATGAGTGGTGCCAGAGCCACACTTCCGTCGAACTGGAATCTTGAGCGCTTCACCCCGGTGAATGCTGGGAATGGGGAGATTGCGCTCCACAGCAAAGCCAAACGCCGCTTCGTCCAGATGCATCCAGATGGCCGTGTACGGCCGCATCACCAGGACAGAGATGCGAACAATGTTCCAGGAAGCTGGGAGCGCTTCTTCGTGGTGCATACCCCCCAGCCCTACTTCTACTTGGAGCCTGGCTCCGTGGTCGCGCTGTACTGCTGGAAGCACCACCGCTTCCTTCGCATGAACAACAAGGCGGACATGGACCGCAGTGCCATTAACGGACCCTACGTGCGGAGAGGATGGACATGGGAGACCTTCACCGTGGTGGACGCAGGGGGTGGCCTGATTGCATTGCACAGTGCAGCACACAACCGCTTTGTGAGGATGAAGGGGAATGCGGACATGAGGGCAAGCGACAAAAAGTCCATCAACGAGCTCCCCGACAGCTGGACCGATCAGAGGTTTGCAGTCGTGCCTGCCGGCAAACATGCCAACAAACACGTAATCGCTTTGCACAACCCCTGGCACAACCGCTTCGTTTCCATGACGACCAACAGCGTTGTTGCCAGTGGAAAGAAGGATGCGCAGAGCCTGCCTGGAGGCTGGACGTGGCAGAAGTTCCAGGCAGGCGGCCGAAACTAAACAGTTTTAAACCATATTTCGAAACTGTCTCCCAAGTTCCCCCGCCCCCTCTCAACATGTGCTTGTCCCCATAAGTGCCCGTCGAGCGACGCAGGTCATCAAGGTGTCCAGCAGGTCGAGCCCGACGAGCAAAGCAGGGGCCTTCGAGGGTGCACGTTCCGGTTGATTCGAGGTTGGAGTGCTTCAAAAGGTGCTTCACACAGGTTTTAACAATGTATTTCAAGACGGAGCAAGACGCAGCAAGGCAGAGCAAGACGGGTGCATCTGGCACATCCATCGGCACGAAGTGCAGATTTACGAGTGGTTTGATCCGTTCTTTGCCTGCCCAAGGGGCTCACGTACATTGTACAAACACCAGTGCAGGGAGAAACTGCCTTGCGCGCATTACACGTGTTTTTCCTCGGTTGCAGGAAAGCGTGCTTGTAAGAGGCGCCTGCGCCCGACGCCTTACCCTGACAAAAAGCAAGAAGGCGCAGCCCTGTGCAGCTCAGGACTGAGATTCAGAGAGAGAGAGAGAGAGAGAGAGAGAGAGAGAGGGAGGGAGAGAGACAGAGACAGAGAGAGGGAGAGAGAGAGAGAGAAAAAAAAAACAAAAAGAGAGACACAGAGAGACAGAGAGTAGATTTCTACGGCGATCGTGGTGAGAGTTGCAAGCACATCATGCTGAGAGTTTCGTGGGTTCTACGATAGCTGGGAGCCCTCCCTCTTCACATGGGGAAAGCTCCAACCCAACACTGGTTCCTGGTGCTCTCCCGTCCTGTGTGGAGACTGTTTGAGTTGGACAGGTTGCCAACTACAAGCCCAGCTAGAAGTACAGAAGTGCACATGGCAACTGCATCTCTGTGTAGTCTCTGTGTTCTCATCGCATGTCGGCTCTGGAGATTGCCCAAAGAAGGCAGTTGGCAAGGGTAACCCTCTGAAAAAGCCCACTTTTTTCAGGATGCCGAAGATCGAGCCCAATTACATCGTGCAGGCTCCGCAGTTCTGACAAACAGGCACTTCAACTGAGCCATATTTTGGTCGCTCCAGCAATCCGCCAAAGTCTCAAGATGAGCACTCGCAAAAATGGGGGGGGAGAATTGAGGGAAGCTCTTTACATGTCTTAAGTCCCCTAGAGCCTATGCTCCTGAATATGGCGGAGCCCTGGGCGCAAGAACGTCGGCCCAGGCCCCACATGTGCGATGGCAAGGAGGAAGGGAGAGCTGAAGAAAAGGTCGCGCTTTGTCTTTCTTACAGTTACGGTATGCTTTTAAAATTATGATTTCGTATATTATGACATTATCATATGGGCTTACTGGGCCTGTCGATGCTTATCGAAATGGTGATTCATAACCTCAACAAACTAAAGCTCCGGCGCTTTTGGGATCTCCAAACCCTCAGCATCCATCAGCATGCCCTGGTGGATCAGCCTTCTGCAGTTGCGTTCATGGCTACCTGTCTTTTTGAGAACTTGAATCAAAGAGCCCGAATTGCATCAAAGAGCCCGAATTGGTCCGAAGCACACATGTTGGCAGGGACTGAGAGAGAGAGAGAGAGAGAGAGAGAGAGAGAGCGGGAGGCAGAGAGAGAGAGAGATAGAGTGTGTGTGTGTGTGTGTCAGCCTCGGCGACGAGGGCATGGGAATGAGAAGCGCAACTTGGGTTGTGAGAGCCACCTTTGCCAGAGTCCAAATCCCCCTCGCTTTGGAAGTTCCTTTGGAAGTTCCTCGTGTACCTTGCGAGAAGAGATGCGCTCTGTAGGGTGTACAGTAACCGCTTCCCGTTAAGCTTGTGAAGAGGCCTGTCGTCTCTTCCGGAGGCGTTGCTCCGTGGGGAGCTCGGCTTTAGCACAGACGTGCCTCACTCGAATGTCCACGGTACTGAACACTGCAGCCTCAACAAGCTTCTCACCCACAGGTTCTCGAGCCCATGACCTTTCGAAACCCCTAAAAAATCCGCAAAGCTCAGCTGCAATAGCCGACAGGCCCCCTGCCCGGTGGCGTAGCGCTGGCTCCGCAGCCTGCTGAGGCTCAGCCGATTTTTCAGTCTTTTTCTGTTGCGGGGGGGGGGGGGGGGGGGGGGGGACGGAGGAGAGGGATTGAGTCCAAAAATCTTGCGCCTCATCTTAGGGCTTCCGCCCCAAAGTCAAAGGTGCCTTGAAGAGCCCCAAACCAAACTCGGCAGGAGGGGTGCAAAGAAGAGGGTTTTTCAGGCAGTTGTGAGGCTCGGCTCTGTAGGGAGAGAGATTCCGAGCCCAGCGCGTGTGGGTTCCTGGACCCTCACCGATCTTCCGTTCCAGGGTGCAATCTTCTGGTGCTTCTTTTCCACGTTCAGAGGAAGGGTTTAAAAGCTTTGTGGTGCCCGCCACGGCCTAGGCACTATAGCACCTACGCGCTGACAATCTTCATGGCAATGACGATAGCCCGAAGCCAACCGTCAAGGGCAGCAAGATGGCAACACAGAGTCTCATCATCTCATGGATCTTTACAAGGGCTGCTTTACGCATGTTTATCTTCAAAGCTCTGCAGAAAAACACTGAACCTCGCAAAAGAAACCTTTTTCCCCTTTCAATAGGCCTTCCGGCGCTGCCGGCCTTCGGGGCATGGCGCAAGCCGTCCGGCTTCCTCCTGCCGTCCCTTGCTCTCAAGAGTTGCACTCATCTGGGTGCCTCTCTAAATTATAGGGTCCCTATTTGGGGTTCCTTATGATAAAGGGTGCCGTAATGCGTACAACAAAAAGGGACCTTAATTTGGAGAATATGCATATAGAAGAGGGCTCTGACATGCTCCCAGCCCTCGCGAGAAGAATGTGGGATCCAATGGGTGCTCCGAAAGGAGACAATGTTGTTAATGTAACTTTGAGGAATCGCCTGGTCTCTTCCGACGTCGCTGACTCTTAGTTTGCCACCTGGGGTTGGAGAGGGGGTAGGACCCAGAGCACTGGGCATCCAAAAGCTCGTAGGGTGAGCCCAAGCAATTCAGCATGCCACTCGACACGTCTCCTGGAGAAATGTCAGCCCTATGCAGCAGGATCGTCACTGGGAGCAGCTGCAGCCCCCCGGCCCGGTTCCTGCGGGGAGACATGGCCACTGCGCTGGAGCTGCCGGGCGGCGGATGTTCGTCTTTGGAGGCCGTGCCGGCCTAAGAAGTTTCCCGCAACTCGGGTGGTTTTTTTTCGGTCAAAGCCCCTCTTTTTAAGCAGCTGCCGAGGTGGAGCAGACCTGCTGGGTGATCTCTGGAGCTTCGACCTGGAGGCGAGGAGGGTCAGCCGAGTGGCGTTCTTTGCCCGATGCGACTCGACTGCCCTCGTAAAAACGTTCAGGGCCCGTTTCAACCTTTCAAGCCCATTGCTTCTTTGCAGCTTGGTCGCTGGAGAGTTATGTGCTGTTCCCGCCACCGTTCTGAATGCGAATCGAACTGTGGACTCTTTGGCTTCTCCGCGCCTCTGCATTCTTCGGCATTCGTGCTTCTGCGCTTGTCAGAGGCTTCGCTGGGAAAGGCGTCTGTTTGGCGGTAGCAAAAGTTCTGCTGCATTCCGTGTGATATAGGGCGGTTCTCGATTTTACCAACCACCTGGTTCTAGGGTGAAGGGCGGGTGGCTGCAAGGCATTGGCCAATACAGCAAGCTGCGAACCTCCACAACCCGTACTAGAGCCGAACCACCTTCAAGAATCGAACAGCCCCGGAAGTTATTCCCGCCAGGCTCATCACTGGGAGCAGCTGCGGCCGCCTGGCCCGGCACCCGCGGCGCGCCAAGCCCACACTGCGGCCATGGCCGGGTGGCGGATGCTCCTCTTCGGAGGTCGCGCCGGCCTGAGAGAAGCAAAGTTTCCGCAGCGGTGGAAGTAGGCAGTGGAGTCCATGGAGCTCAGTGGAGCTCAGTCTCGCCGCCTCGCCGAGGCGGAGAAGACTTGCTGGATGATCTGTGGAGCTTCGACCTGCAGGCAAGGCCCTGGTGTTGGGGTCGCTCAATCCCTGGAAGGGCGTCCGTGCAGCGGTAGCTGCAAGAGATCCGCGCATTGCGTTCTGTATTCTCCAGAGACGAAGAATCATCGCCATAGCCCTGCGCTGGAACATACTGGACCTGTGCTGCACGTTCAGACCTCCGCAACTTCTTGTAACCTGTATGTCCTCTAAAGCAACTGAAGCGTGTCGACCTGTACGGGTTTTTGCCTCCCACCATGAAGACACATGGAACTTGTTGCCACAAATGCAATGGGACATAATCGAACCCTGGCACTATCCGTCTCTCTCTCTCTCCCTCTCTCCCTCTTTTCCAAAAGCGTCACTGAAACTGTGGCTGGGAGTGAGTGAGGGTTGCTTCCTTGAAGTTGTTTCTCTGGGCAGGCTCATCGCTGGGAGCGGCTGCTGCCCCCCGGCCCAGCGCCCGCGAAACGACAACACCACAGCGCGGCCGTGGCCGGGCAGCGGCTGCTCCTCTTCGGAGGTTATGGCGGCGACCTGAGAAGCTTCAGCAGCTGCCGTGGGGGGAGACAGCAAAACAGCAGCTCTAGACGCCCTAGACAAGAAAACAAGTACAGACAAAGATCAACACTATACAGACTGACCAGACAATAATAACAAGCTAGACAACGGAAACAACCATAGAAGACAGAAGAACGACCCTTGGCGACGACTAAAAACCCTAAGACAACAAAAAACACCCAAGACAACAAACATCAACCCTGGACAACAAAAAACAACCCTAGAGAAGAAACAACAACCCTAGACAACACAAAACAATCTTGAAACACAAAAGCGACCCTAGACAAGAACGCATCTTCCCTGGAAACAATCTGCCCCAGACAACCACAAACAACTTTTTACAACAAAAAGCAATCCTAGACAAGCCTAGACACAACAAAACATTCCTGACAAGAACAGAACTGTGGCAACAAAAACGCAACCATAGACAAAGCCTAGACAAGCACAATCAACCCTACACCTAGATAGCAAAAAGCAACCCAAAACAGTCAAAATCAACCCATAAAAAAGGCAACAACCCTGCACAACAGAAATACAACTCCGGACACAAAAATTGTGGTCTAGGGTTTCAACCCTAGACATTAGACAACAACCCTAACAAACGCACGCCACCAAGCCTAAACCCTGAACCATGGAAGAACAAGCCGTGCGCACGTGCCTAGATCCCCGGGGGGGGGGGGGGGCTGAGCTTTTCCGAGGCGGACAAGACGTGCTGGATGATCTGTGGAGCTTCGACCTGCAGGCGAGGTGCGTGGGTTGCTCAGACATCCGACTGGCGTAGCAGTCTTGGAGGGTGATGTGTGCTCAAGCACCCGAAGCGTATCGATCGGGGCGGGGGGGCGGGGGGGGGGGGGTGGCGAAGCTGGTGCTGGGATCTCAAACACCTTGGGCTCAGCTTGCTTTCTGACTGCCGGCACCGGACTGCAAGAGATGCTATGAGGGAGAATGCATGTAGAGATGTCGCAAAATTGTGACAGAAGAGATAAGGCTTGCAGAGCCAAGCCCAAAGCACGGAAAGAAAGAGATGCGTGGAGGGAGCAGAGTTTTTTGTTGTCCTGGGGGGTGAGCCAAAAGATGCCGATTCACGGCTTTTTTTTTGCCCCACTAGCAAGTCACATGGAACTTGCCGCATGTGCACTGGAACCCTGGCTTTTCGATTCCCAGCATCGTTTGAACTGGCTGGGGGAGTGGGTTGTTCCTTCGTGTCTTGGACAGGCTCATCGCTGGGAGCGGTTGCGGCCGCCCGGCCCAGCGCCCATGAAGCGGTTTGGCCACACTGTAGCTGTGGCCACCGGCCTCTTCGGACGTGAGATGCTCCTCTTCGGAGGCGACAGTGGCGGCCTCAGAAGCTTCGGCAGTGGTTCCTGCAAAGGAGTGCGGTCTGCAATCTGCACAGCTGCTTAAGGCGTTGGGGCAACTCTGTAGGGGGGGGGGGGGGGGGGCGAGGTGGAGAACCTGCCAACAGCGTGCTGGATGATCTGTGGAGCTTCGACCTGCAGGCGAGGTGCTGGGGTCGCTCAATCCCTGGAAGGGGTTTCCCGTGCAGCTGTAGCTGCACGAGATCCGCTGCAGTGCGTTCAATATGCTCATTCCTTTAGAGACGAAGAACTATCGCCATAGCCCTGCGCTGGAACATACTGGAAAAGCAAAGTGAAGACTTGGTTATTGCGCTTCACGGTCAAACCTTTCCAATGCAGAGGCACAGCAGTCTTGTAGTCTTGTATGGTTGTTTCTCAAGCCGCCGAATCGTGTCGACTGGGTTTGGGGTGAGAGGGGGTGGGGGGTGTAAGCGGGAGCATGCGCATAGCGATATCGTATATGTTGCAAGCGACATCAGGTTTGCAGAGCAGAACCCAAGGAAAAACACCCCTGAAAAGGGTGTCCCGGACAGGCTCAGCGCTGGGAGAAGCCGAGGCCGCCCGGCCCGGTGCCCATGAAGCGATTTGGCCACAGCGCAGCTGCGACCGGGCAGCGGATGCTCCTCTTCGGAGGTTATGGCACCGGCCTCAGAAAGCTCTGCGGTTCCCCTCTGTGTTCGTGTTGCCCCCCTTTGTCCCCTTTCTTTTGTGAACGCGAACACAGCGCGTTGGCCGTGGGTGAGGTGGAGGAAGCCGGCTGAATGATCTGTGGAGCTTCGACTTGAAGGCGAGGCCAAAGGGGCCCCAAAACCCTGAGCCACAAACGGAGATGTTTGGTTAACAATTCCTCAAAAAGGAGACTTTGCTAGGGAAACCTGATTTGCTTGAAAAAGCAAGATGGTAGCGAATGTGCCCCCAATTGCCCTTGTGGAACCCAAGGGCAGGGGACCCCATCTGCCTAAATGTTAGAAGCATCCCGGTTGTAAAGTTCCCCACCCCCGTGTGTGGTTGTGACATTTTGAACTCTTCTCCTCGCCCGGTCTACTCCTCGCCCATCACCCGTATCCCACCCCAGCGTATCCCAGAGAGTTTACTTGGAAAGCAACCTAGAGTATGTCCTGCAGTGGGTGAGTGTTCAAAGTAAAATCGTTTGTGGTTTTGTTGCTGTTTATTGAAAATTTCCGCGCCGTTCTGTTGGAATCGTATTCACTGCTTCAACTCTACGACGCTGCGTTCTTCGGTACTCGAGCTTCTTACAGGCTTTGCTGGAAAGGCTTTCTGTGCAGCGGCAGCTGCTTGTGATCCGCTGCATCGCGTCCTTTTTTTGCCGATTCTCCAGAATTCTGGAAAAGCAGTGCGGACTAGCGCTTCACGTTCAAACCTCAATTCACAGGCACAGCAGTTCTGGAGGGTACTGTTTTCTCAAGCGTGTCGATTGGGTTTGGGGCGGGGTTGGGCTGGGGGGGGGTTTTGGGGAGGCCCTAGAAAAACATCTTGGGCTCAGCTTGCTTTCTGACCGCCGGCACCAGATCGCAAGAAATGCTATGAGGGAGTATGCGCAGAGCGATATCGTAATTTTATGTGTGAGATCAGGTTTGCAGAGCTGAACCAAGACCTGAAAAGCATGCGTGGAGGGGACAATAGCAAGTTGCTGTCCTCCCACGTGAGCCTCAGCCAGTACAGTGCGAGCACTGGCTCAGAACGCGCAAGTTTCAGTTCTGGCTTCAGGGGGGACTCAGATTCACACTGGTAGTACATTCTTAATTGGGATTCGAGCTGGCAACCTAGTCCTTAGGGAGGACGCAGTAGCCACTGTGACCAGAACCCCGTCATGTCTGATAACGAAGAAGATATGGAGCTCTCGAGTGTGGCCAGCCTTCTTCTGATTGCGGCTTGTGTAAAGCCCTACTAGAAGCTAAGAATCTAAGGGGCAGAGTTCTAAATTGGGCCCTTGCTTCAAAAAACACTGGGTCAAGAATGTGCCCTCCTAATTTCCTTGGGGGCTTAAATTCTTGAGTCAAAGGCGCCCAGTTGGGGGCGGGAAGAAACCAATGTGTAGGACAAGTTTTGTCCCCTCAAATTCTGAAGTAAGGAGTAGGATGTCGTACCTTATGCTCCTGTAGGGCAGGGCTCTTCTTCCCACGCATGTTTTTGCCCCGCTGCCCCACGAGTCCCACGGAACTTGTCACAAGTGCAATGGATGGCGTTTCCAGAGTGGATTGTTCCTTCGTGTCCCTTTGTCTCCTGGGTAGGCTCATCGCTGGGAGCGGCTGCGCCCCCCCGGCCCAGCGCCCGCGAGACGCTATGGCCACAGCGTAACTGTGGCCGGGCAGCGGATGCTCCTCTTCGGAGGACATGGCACCGATCCGAGAAGGCTGCAGTGCTGGGCAAAGTCCCCGCGCAAACGAAAATTGGGCTGCCAACCGAGGCCCAGAGTCCGGCCCACGCCTGGCGCCCGGCATTGTTCTTGTGGCGCGACATGGCATACCTGCACCCTGGCCTTTTGTCTTTTGTGTTTTCCACGGGGGCCGTGCTGCTGCCGAGGATTTGAGAACAATGATACGTGGAGCTTCGACCTGCAGGCTGGTGGGACTTTAGGAACCGATGAGAAAAGGATGTCAATCCTGGCACATCCCATGACTGTTGAAGGGTGCCAAAATCACGGTGAGCAAGCCTACATGGCGCAATGGGCTTTCTTGAAGACTTGGGTGATTCATGTGCCCACAGCATTCCGGGCTAAGTCCCTCACCAAGACCCTTTTGAATTTAGCAACACCCAAAGACCTCTAAATCCCCGGGCTCCGTCTTGTAACCATACGCGGTTCTCTCGACATCCACATTCATTCTGCTCTGCTCAGGGTGCACAGCAGTTGGGCCCCGTCAGAGAGGTACAGCCAGAAGATACTAAGAACATCACATGGAGGCTCGAAACTTCTGGTTGGCACTTTCTGATAGCTCGGTCCTTGAGCTGGCTATCAAGACGAAACCATGAAACCCGAAACCCGAAGCTTATAAGGCTCACAAACCCTGACACCACAAAGCCTGAAGTTAACCCCTGCTTCTCAACTTGCGATCTGGGCCGGAGGAGCTGATCCACCCCGAATTGGCGCAAGACGCCGCCGAGGCAAATCCTGTTCCAGCAGCCCCCTGCCATTAAAAGATCCTGATGCTCTGAGATGCGAAGAGTCCAGGCATGGTTCTGTGAGAAAACAAACTCGAGGGTCGAGGGCCAGGTTATGAGAGAGAAGAGGGGCACAAGGAGAACATCCACGCAAAAGCCGCATCTACTTTCCCTAAAAACTTCCACCCGAAGTCCTGAAATCCTTTGCTTGCAAACGCCCTGTACAGTATATGGCGTGTCAAGCCCCATAAGCCGCCATAAGCCCCTTGCAAGCCCCGAAGCCCTTGCAACCCCGAACCCCCTAGCCAGAAGCCGCACGTAAGCCCTAGACCTCCTGGACAAGTGTGGACAAGAACCGCGCGCAAACACCAACAAACAACATCAAACTGCAATGTGCGCCAGAGAGAGAGAGACACAGAGAGAGAGAGAGAGAGCGAGCGAGAGAGCGAGAGAGACTGAGACGGAGACAGAGACAGAGACAGAGACAGAGACAGCGATGTGGGATGTATGTGTATATGCGTAGATTGTGATGCACAGATCTTGAATTTAGGATGATGTCTCATATTACAGCGCATATTCCGAAACACTCCATCCCGCGCAGTAGGTTCAGTAGATGAAAGTCACCGAGGCTGCGGACCCGGAGCTGCCGGAAGTGGTCCACGAAGACTTGGATCTCCAGGGTGGCTGGGGCTTGAAAGATCTGTCCAGGATCCCCCTTTTTGAGCGGTGGTTGTGTTGTATTCCGGCAGACAATCTACGGCGTTTCATGTGGAAGCGGGGTATAGATGCAATGCACATACAACCCGTTTGTCGCGGTGAAGAGGATCTCGCGGTGGCTTTGCTTTGGCTTTGCGGGGCCGAGGCATCGAAGCCGCTGTCCCAGCAACACCGGCAGAGCACGCCGCGGCGTCCGCAGCAGCGCCCGCCGCTGTGATTCGTGTGCGCAGCAGCACTCCATAAAACCCAAATGCCTCTAAATCCCCTGAATCTTCTCGGGCTCTGTCTTGATCCACATTCATTCTGCGCTCTCGGTCCTTGAGTTGGCCATTTTGATCCGCTGTCAAGACGAAACCATGAAGCCCGAAGGCCTGCAGCCTATAAGGCTGCAAGCCCTGAACCCGAGAACAGTTCCTGAGCCCTACAAACGCCCACAAACCCTGACACCACAAAGCCTGAAGTTAACCCCTGCTTCTCAACTTGCGATCTGGGCCGGAGGAGCTGATCCACCCCGAATTGGCGCAAGACGCCGCCGAGGCAAATCCTGTTCCAGCAGCCCCCTGCCATTAAAAGATCCTGATGCTTTGAGATGCGAAGAGTCCAGGCATGGTTCTGTGAGAAAACAAACTCGAGGGTCGAGGGCCAGGTTATGAGAGAGAAGAGGGGCACAAGGAGAACATCCACGCAAAAGCCGCATCTACTTTCCCTAAAAACTTCCACCCGAAGTCCTGAAATCCTTTGCTTGAAAACGCCCTGTACAGTATATGGCGTGTCAAGCCCCATAAGCCGCCATAAGCCCCTTGCAAGCCCCGAAGCCCTTGCAACCCCGAACCCCCTAGCCAGAAGCCGCACGTAAGCCCTGGACCTCCTGGACAAGTGTGGACAAGAACCGCGCGCAAACACCAACAAACAACATCAAACTGCAATGTGCGCCAGAGAGAGAGACACAGAGAGAGAGAGAGAGAGAGAGCGAGCGAGAGAGCGAGAGAGACGGAGACAGAGACAGAGACAGCGATGTGGGATGTATGTGTATATGCGTAGATTGTGATGCACAGATCTTGAATTTACGATGATGTCTCATATTACAGCGCATATTCCGAAACACTCCATCCCGCGCAGTAGGTTCAGTAGATGAAAGTCACCGAGGCTGCGGACCCGGAGCTGCCGGAAGTGGTCCACGAAGACTTGGATCTCCAGGGCGGCTGGGGCTTGAAAGATCTGTCCAGGATCCCCCTTTTTGCGCGGTGGTTGTGTTGTATTCCGGCAGACAATCTACGGCGTTTCATGTGGAAGCGGGGTATAGATGCAATGCACATACAACCCGTTTGTCGCGGTGAAGAGGATCTCTCGGTGGCTTTGCTTTGGCTTTGCGGGGCCGAGGCATCGAAGCCGCTGTCCCAGCAACACCGGCAGAGCACGCCGCGGCGCCCGCGGCAGCGCCCGCCGCTGTGATTCGTGTGCGCAGCAGCACTCCATAAAACCCAAATGCCTCTAAATCCCCTGAATCTCCTCGGGCTCTGTCTTGATCCACATTCATTCTGCGCTCTCGGTCCTTGAGTTGGCCATTTTGATCCGCTGTCAAGACGAAACCATGAAGCCCGAAGGCCTGCAGCCTATAAGGCTGCAAGCCCTGAACCCGAGAACAGTTCCGAGCCCTACAAACGCCCACAAACCCTGACACCACAAAGCCTGAAGTTAACCCCTGCTTCTCAACTTGCGATCTGGGCCGGAGGAGCTGATCCACCCCGAATTGGCGCAAGACGCCGCCGAGGCAAATCCTGTTCCAGCAGCCCCCTGCCATTAAAAGATCCTGATGCTTTGAGATGCGAAGAGTCCAGGCATGGTTCTGTGAGAAAACAAACTCGAGGGTCGAGGGCCAGGTTATGAGAGAGAAGAGGGGCACAAGGAGAACATCCACGCAAAAGCCGCATCTACTTTCCCTAAAAACTTCCACCCGAAGTCCTTTGCTGAAAATGCCCCGTATAGTATAGATGGCCCCTTAAGGCCCCCAGCCAGAAGCCGCGAAAGGTGTGGACAAGAAGCGTATACCAACACCAATTACCTCCCACCCAAGAAGCAACAAACAAGAATGCTCGCCCGCTCACGGAGAGAGAGTGAGAGAGCCGGGGGCTTGCCCCCACTAAGGAAACATTTCGCGCGTCGTACCGTACCGGAGTCTGCGTCGAGACGGGCAAAAAGTCGAAAAACGCAAAAAACAAGAAAAACGCAAAAAGTCGAAAAACAAGAAAAGCTCAAAAAACAAGAAAAACATTAAAAAAAAATAAAATAAAAAAAAAAAAAAAAAAAAAAAAGAGAAAAACCCGAAAAGCGAGAAAAACATAAAAACCAAAAAGAACATGCATGTAGGTTCGTGTTTGTCGCGTTTTTCGCGTTTTTCGCGCTTTTCGCGTTTTTTGCCCTTTTCGCGTTTTTCGCCCTTTTCGCGTTTTTCGCGTTTTCCCGTTTTTCCTTTCCAGCCCTCGGCACGAGTCTCTTCTCAAGACTGCCGGCTGTGGTGGATGAGAGCGACGCCGTGGACTGTGACGGCCTGTTGCAAGTCTGCCAGGCTGAGTTGCTGCACTTCACAGGGTTTTGGGATTTTGTACAGGGATGTTTCGTCAACATAAAAGAGCTTGGGTGTCTGGGTTTGTCTCAAGGCAAGCACGGCCCAAACTCTAAATCCAAGGCCACAAGCTCTAGCCCATAAACCGCCCTAAGCCCTAACCCATAAACCCGTAACCCAAACCAGAAAACCCTGTGTAAAGAGCTTCAACAGATTTCAACAGTTAGGAGCTCAGCATCATACGAGGACTCTGTTTGCATGCACTACCACGTGAATTCCTTACTTTCAAAGACATCGTGCGCGCAATCTTTTTGCAAATGCGGGGATGGTAGGGTTGTGCTTAGGGCTAAATAGCGGTGTTTTTTGAATTTTTGAACACACATGTACACATGTACATATGTATATATGTATCAGTATATGTGTATATGTGTATATGTGTATATATGTATATATGTATATATGTATATATGTATATATGTATATATGTATATATGTATATATGTATATATGTATATATGTATATACATATATACATATATATATACATATATATATATATACACGTATGTATGTATGTAGGTAGGTAGGTAGGTATGGACCACACTGTCGACGCCATGTGGCTATGTGGCCCAGGGGCCTGGGGCTGCAGGGCTTGGGGTTCCCAGGGTTGATTTCCAGGGTCTTCTCGGGTTCTCTCGTTTGTCGCGTTTTTTCTAGCTTGCGATCCGCGTGTTCTGTCCTTGTTTCCGTTTTCGCGTTTTTCGCAATTTTTTTTGGCGTCTTTCGCATGTGTTGAGTATTTTCCCGTTTGTCGCGCTTGCGCGTTTTTACCGTTTTCGTGTTTTTCGCGTATGTTTTTTCGCGTTTTCCGCGTTTTTTCGCGCTTTTCGCGTTTTTCGCGTTTTCACGTTTTTCGCATATTTCGCGTTTTTCGCATATTTCGCACTTTTCGCGCTTTTCGCGTTTTTCGCCTTTTTCGTGTTTTTCGCGTTTTTCGCGTTTTCGCGTTCTCGTCACTGCCTCCGCTTAGCCGAGACACAAAGCGTTTCCACAGGGGTGCCCCCATGCCCCCAAAAAAGAAAGAAATAAAGAAAGAACGTTTTTTTGCATATGCGCATCGCGGAAAGTACATGCGTACATCTATAATTTATGTGCAGATAGAGAATGGGATCGCGTCTCAGAGCACAGCACATTTTTACCACATTGCACCTAGGCTGGGGTGCCGGAGCTGCCGGAAGTGGTCCACGAAGACTTGGACCTCCAGGGCGGCTGGGGCTTGAAAGATCTGTCCATATGGTAGAGAGTGGCATTTCGGCAGATCTATGAACGAGGAAAATGTTAGATGTGGATATAGGCTTCTGGGCCGTCTTTGTTCAAAAACACTGCGGA